CTTCATTCATATTTGCTTATTTCATTCAATTTTTTCGTTTATATTGAAAGAAAATTTCAAAAATTATCATTTCGTCCTTGTTTTAGAAACAAATTTTTAACGGCCATTGTTGCTGTTATGCTTTATTTGTTTCGCTCTATTTAAATTAGTGCAAATTAACTTATGAAAAAGATTAAATTACTCCGAGTTTAATTATAAAAAATTGTAAAAATTTTTCGTAACATATATTATTTTAAATTGCAATAAATCTATTCATTTTATAGATTATTTTATATGCTAGGAGTATTGAATCCAACGATAGGCTTAAACCTATGACGATTGATCATGTATGATTAGATCAACTAAATCGACTCAATGATGAACGGTAACTTCATCTAGCTCATCGCCTATCCTATTCGCCTATTAACAAGGAATTCAACACTGTCACATACTGAATTTGGATTTGCTTTTAATTTATGCAATCGAATTTCTTCCTAAAATCTTGAACGGTGGATATTGATAATTTGCTCAATAATAATTTGCATTATAAACTATCTATGTCAAAGAATATTTCTCAATTTATTAATTTATCGGAAACAACATCGATTGAACGAATTCCAATCGAAATTCAATCTAACAAGATTACAGTTGAATTAGTTTCCATACTACTTGCAATTGTACCAATCATTTTAACGATAGGTACAATTTTGGGAAACGTATTTATATTAGCTGCCATATTATATAGAATACGAAATCCTACGAAATTGTTGATTGCTAATCTCGCCTTAGCTGATTTGTTAGTTGGTTAGTCATCATTTTTTATGAATATTATCGCGTTTTAATCATGAAAGATGCAAATTCTCTTTATTATTAAGCGGGGATTTTCAAAATTATACTTTTTTATTAATGAACTGAAAGATCGAATGAAATTCTTAACGATTTTAGGAATTATAATAATGCCATTTGCCATATCAAATATAATAACGAAATCAACGTGGATCTATGGCCAAACGTTGTGTAAAATATGGTGTTCAATGGACGTAATTTGCTGTACGGCTTCAATTATCACATTATGTGCAATAAGTGGTGATAGATTTATTGGAATTACCAAACCGTTACAATATACGCAAATTGTCACTCGGAAAAGGGTCGCTTTCACTTGTTTAGGTACGAAATTTCTACTCATTTTGCCTAAGCCTAAGGGTTGCTCTTCTTACATATTTTTAATGAATTGCCTAAGCCCGCGAAACTCGATCGATTATATCTCCAGAGCTATTAAAAATAAAAGCGTGACTTCTATTTCAAATACTGAATTTCAGTTAATTCGAGGTTAAAAATAAATGATAATGTAGTGCTCACCATTTCTGGCTATGTCCACTGCATTGTTAGTAGTTGTTCATGAGGTCTTCTTGCCAGGGAGCCATTTAGTGATAGATGCGCTCAGTGATTCATCGAAATGAAACTCTATCAAAAAATTTACAGCTATTTGGATAATCTCGATAACAATATTAATGGCGACTGTAAGGTGGTCGAAAACTGATGAAGAAGGCTATTTTGAATGCAATGTTGGCAATCAACTGGAATACGCGGCTCAGTCAACAATTGCTTCGTTTTTTATACCGCTAAGCATAATCTGTATTTTATACTACAAAATATTTCAGGTGAATTTAAAATGAATTTCGTAATCATTTCCGCTTTTATCTTACATTTCGTAGTTGCAAATAGGTAGTTAATGCAATTTTTTCTTGAAATTTACAATTTTAATTCCAAATAAATTACGTATATCACATAATGTTGAAAATGAATGTTGAAATCTTATTGTTCTTTAGAAATATTTTCCCATTATTCAAAATTTTTGTAGTTAAAAATTTTTGTGGCTAAATTTTTGAATGAAATTTCAAGTGGATTAATATGAAATAAAATGATCCTTATCTTGACAACAAATCAAAGTTCGTTTAAATTCTTAATTTTTGATTTTCATTGTGCTTTTAAAGTATAATTAAAGAATTAAAAAGACGGAATGGATTATATTAAGATTTAGAAAAATTCTGGGAAAGCTCACATATTTCTTTTGAACACCGCAAAATTCCCTTTTCTGTTTAAATTTCGTCGTCTTAAAATTATAAAATTCAGTGTTAAAATCTGTTAGCATAATATATTTAACTATGCAAATATTATAAAAGCATGGAAGTTTAAATTCTGCTTCATTTATTTTACATTCGCTGTAATAAAATATTATTATTAAGTATTCGTTATTATTAAGCGAAGTTAATATTTTGAAAATATTTATTTAATTGCATTCGCGAATTTCTAATTGTTTTATAACTGTTTTCTTTTTTTTAATGCGGCATGAAATGCTTCAATAAATTATTTATCCGTGCTAAAGCCGGAGCAATTTGAATTTTGAATTAAAGAAAAATTCCTCACGAAATTATAAGTTTTTGTGAAAAATAGGGATTTTTCTAAATGACATCTTAAGCTAAAAATAAACGCAGATCGGCATCATTCTAATTCAGTGATTATTATGCTTTTATCTTATCAACATAGTACGATTTATAATAGCAACAATAATATCTCCCACGTTTCTTATTAAATGCCAATTGTTCATCAAAAATGACAAATTGCAGACTACTAAAATTTATGATTTTCTTATAATTTCCTTGTTCTATTTTTATTTTAATTAATAATTTTTTGACTTCTATGACTTAATTAATTTAAATTTTTCGGGTCAACTATACCAAGTAAAGTAAAATTATTTGCATTCGATTTAATATTGCCTTAAATAATTGTTTATTTTAGCAAAATTTTTTATGAAAAATTAATAAATTTCAGGCAGCTAATCGCTCTTATAACTCATTGACAAGCTTCGTTCGAGAGATTTTTACTTCGTAAGTTTCGATTTTATTTGAATTCCACCACTTTGAAATGGGTATAAAACAATTGTTTCTTGCAAAAACTTAATTAGTTATAAATACATTTTAATATATTCAATAAGATAGATAAGCAAGATAGAACAGATAAATATAGATAAGAAGAAAGCCATGAAGTAGAAAAATACTCAACAACAATTCATATATTTTTGCTAAATTTAGAGAATGAATTAAATAAAATTTTAATGCTAAATTATTGAACTTAATTATCAATTTTAGCAGATAAAAATATCGTTGTTCACTGAAAAAATTTTTTTAAAATGGTAATATAATGGTAATGATTAAATCAAATAAGTTGTTTACTATGAAAGTATTTTTTTTCAAAAACATTTTTTCAAAATAAATAATTTTTATGATTAACAAAAATAAATTTAAGAAATAATCAACGAAAAAAAGAATTATTATTATCAATTCGAATTCATTATGGCGGAACAAAAATGAATGCATGTGATGGCGAATGTCGTGTTTTTAAGAAGCAAAAGAAAACCGCAAAAATTTTAGCTATGGTTGTTAGCGCTTTTATATGTTGCTGGACACCATTTTTTATATTACATTTATTAAGTAAGTCAAGTTTTTAAAAAAAATTGGAAAGAATCAATTTTGTTAGAATTCTAGAAAATAATTTTCTTCTCTTCATGAATCTCTTTTAAAATAATATAATAAAAAACACAATATATACGCGTAAGCAAAATGATAAAAAATGGATTTCCAGATGCAATTACTGACGATGAATTGGTTCCTAATTATATTATGGATTTCTTTACTTGGCTTGGATATTTTAATAGGTTCGCTTGAATATTTTTACAACTTTTTCTAGTAAACATTTCTTCATGGTAAATCATTTTCTCCACTTTTCCAGAATTTTTTTTATAGCGAAGAAATTAATGGAAAGCAAAATTATTATCTTCAGAAGGAAAATTATTTTGTTTGCATGATTCATGATTCATGCTAATAGCTGATAATGTTAAATGATCATTTTTCGGGGATATCGGCAAAAATTGCAAAAATAGAGCCACCAGAGTTTTAAGAGGACTAAGCTAAATTGCGAATTGGGAAATAAAAATTTATTCTATTTATTTTAACAAAATTGATTCTCTACCCTCAATTAAATGTCCTATAACCAAAGAGAAACACTGCTGGAGAAAAGAATTCCTTTCTGAAATGGAAAAGAATTTTGAGAGAATTTTTCTCTCTATAGAATCTTTCTTAGTAAAGACCAGATTTTAAGAAGACTGAGTTTAATTTGCGGATTTGTGAAATATATGCAATTTTTCCCCATCTCGAATTTAATTTTTGTTTTCTAGCTTGTTATTTTAGCTAAAAGATTGATTTAACCTTTACTTGAAGTAATTTTTCTCAAATTTTTTTTTTGAATTTTATTTAATAACTTTTTAATTTTTCTTAACTTTTCTCAAATTCTTTACCTTATTATATCATTTTTAGCCTTCAATCCAATCTTTATTTGCCTTTTGATAAAATAACTTTCCGAATGAGAGGGGCCATAGAGGTGAGTAAATCCATGAGGCTAAAAAGATTAACCACTGAATTAGATTATATTCAGTAGAGGTAGAATGACTCAATGGGTTATTATTTAATGAGCGCAAATACTGGGATTTTACATTTAATAGGAGTAAACTTGTCGCTTTTATCCAAGCGATGCTGTTGATTCAGCTGCATTTCTATTACCTTCTGACCTGACAAAATTTTGTGGTTCAACAAACCAGCAGAGCGCAAATACTGGGATTTTACATTTAATAGGAGTAAATTTGTCGCTTTTGTCCAAGCGATGCTGTTGATTCAGCTGCATTTCTATTACCTTCTGACCTTCTGACAAAATTTTGTGGTTCAACAAACCAGCAGAGCGAGCGTTACCGGAAATAGTGAATGAGTGAATTCAAAAAAAGAATAATTGTAATTAAATTGAATCCTTTTTTTCTTTATATTCGTCAAGTGGAAGCATTAAAATTTTGAAATTTTGCAACTTAAGAACAGAAAATGCACAGAACAGTAAGAAATAGTAAATTAACCCTGGCATCCTGCAATTAAACCAATCCTAAACTAAAACGTCACAAAGTTTAGCGGTATTTCAGCATGCTTAATCCACTTATCTATGGAACAAGGTTGCGTTCATTTAAGAATTGTATACGAATTCTTAGCAATTTTTTAAGGACAGAATCTAATTCTGCGACTCAAACACCTCCTAGAAAATGTTCGTTCTTTGCTGTTCCTCAAATTTTCGATTAAAGCCTAAAATTTCGCAAATGAAGAAACGATTTGTTTTGGTCCATTTAAATTTGATTTTTGAAAGCAAATAATGGAATTTTTGTAAGCAGATAATGAATTATTAGAATGTACCTTAAAATTTTTTCAAAAAAATTCGATATTTTTATCAGTAGCAAAAAATACGAAATTATCTAGTATCAGTATGTGCACTTCGTATTTTTCTATCACCAATTTGCCTCGTTTAGGTATATATCGCCGATATTTGCGAAGAGGTAACAAATCATATTCTTGTGGTTTTGTAACATCATTAACTGATTCTCATCATTCAAGTTTCAAATCAACGCCGTGTCAACAATCTGATTCAGTGGAGAGGAAAAAATTGCAATGGTCCTCTAATAGCAATCAACTACCCAAAAATACAACATTTGATGAAGAAATTTATGCTACAGAATCTGCAAACTCAGCTGCTCAAACGAAACTTGCATATATTATGAATTTAAAATTATACAATTTACTGAATAACTCGAAAACCACGGATCTCTGATTTGCATTATTGTAATATTCACTTTATGTTTTATGCTTCTTATATTGAAAATTAATTATATATAATATTTTATATTTGTGATATTTATGATATTTAACCAATTATATATTATTATTAGTTATATATTTTAAAAATAAAATTTTTGCCATGATCGAAAAGCATTTTAAAAAAATAAATTATTGTTTTCTGATCATTTAAAATATCGCATAAATCCATAATATAAAATATTGCCTTCTCATTTAGCATAATTTTTTAACCGATATAATTAAATATATACTATTTATTATGTATTATTTATTTGTCTACAATTTATATTATATAATAGAAAAAACATATTTTTATATAAAAATAAATGTTATATATATAATATTACATTATATTATATATATAATATAATATTATATTATATATATAATATAATATTACATATTATTTATGTATTTTTATTTTTTTTATTTATATAATATTTTTTATAAAAAAACTTCATCGATAAATCCTGAGAAAACCAAAGAGAATGGATTGTGTAATATCTCCTTTTCAGCCTTTTAAATTCCTTCATATTCTTCATATTCTAAAAGTGCTATGGTTTCGCTAGGTTTACTGGTCACCATTGGCGATCACTTGAGGATGTAAATATTGGTAAACATTAACGCCAGTCAGATTCAACTTCATCTTCGTCATTCCAAGCTTATGTACAATTTTCAATTTTTGTCTTCGATGCTGATATATATTGAATTAATTAATAAAATTTCTTTTTTTTATCAATATATCGACATTATTAATACAAAAAATTTATTTCGCTCATCTGATTAGAATTTCTCTGCCAAATCGAGCATTTATCTTTACCTACAATTTATGTTTATTCATATTATCCTATCTTTTTTCCAAAAGAGAGCGTGCCATTATCAGTTTTGTTCTTTAAAATTGCAATATCCTTTACATATAATGCTGAATGATTGTTTTAAAAAATTATAGCTGAAATTGCTGATTGCAAAAATTATGATCGCCACGAATAAATATTATCAATATTAATTAATACCATGTAAGTGACAAATTTAGACACGCCATACGAAGAGTAAGCCAAATTATGGATGTTCTAATCGAAGATATACAAGATATAACTTTTAAGACAAAAAATAAGACAAAGAATTTCATTGACCTTAGCAATCATGACTCGCATTATAATCTGTTAGAGGAAAAGAAGGTGTGCTAAACAGTGAAAAGATTTTATGGTATGAAATTTTCGAATATAAGAATATATATTTTTTGAATACACTGATCATCTGTCACTTGTCGTAGACGCATATTCTTATTCTTAGTCAAATTTTATCACGAAAATAATTATTTAATTCCGATAATTTCTTGACATTTAGTTTTAAAGTTCATATGTGCACCAGTAATTCAAATGAATGGAATTATATGACTAGTTTGAAATATAATTTGTAGGATTCATTTCTAATCTTTTTTTGTCGAAGGATACAACTCTCAATGCATGCATCACTATTTCACTGTTTTACAAAGTATACTTAATGTACCACATGCGATACCTCGAGCTCAAGTACTTCGGGTGAAGTCACCTTGTTGAGAAGATGATAACCAAATGTTGAAATTTTTCTAATATTCTTTGATCAACTATAGGTCTACAAGTCAACCAGACATAAATATCTATTAAACCGATAAGACTGACTGACTAGCTGCCATCGCTGGCGCAGTATTCTTCTTTCGAATGCAATTACGAAATAAATATTTCAAATATATATTGCAATTTTTAAAAAATATATCTAAACTTTCATTATCCATTATTTTATCGAATATTTTTTATACGCAAATTTGACTCTTACTTAAATTTCTTTAATATATTTCATGTGAGATGATAATTTCTTCCACAAACTTTATAGAAAACTTTTATTGGTCATTAAAGGTTAAAAAAATTCGCCGGAAACATAATAAATTCAATTAAAATGAGAAACAAAATAGGAAATAAAAAATTTAATGAAATTTCATGAAATTATTTTTCTAATGAAAAAAATTTTTCTCTGAATTTTTTTATCTCTCTTCTGTTGAATAGACTTTTAACAGTGGGATGTGCCTTGTCCAATTCGGATTTAGGCCAGGAATGGTTATGGAATGGTTGGGCAAATTGTCACACTGAGAAAGGTATTGAAATATCGTTTCAAGCATCGACAATCTACCATTATGTGCTTCATTTGTCGCTGATTTTGATTCGATTGATAGGGCGGCCCTCTGAGAAGTAATACGATACGGTGATATTTATTTAGAGAAGATAATCAGACTTTAATATAAAGCATTTTATTGGTGGAGGCCAGTTTAAATATGTTCAGGAAATTGAAGCTACCTTTTATAATACTACCAGTAAGCATAAAAGCTGCTTTCTTTCCCTTACAATTTTTAAAATATGGTGAGGTTATGGACATTGCCGATATTCAAGAGATATATGAACCAGCCTAGAGCACAAAATGCATACAGCGTACTCAGACACTGATTAGCTGCTATCCTTTCCTCTTATAATTGCGAGGAACTACGACAGATCCCAAACCTGCTTTCAATAGAAAAAGCGAAAATTGGTCATCAGATCAATATGAATAAGACGAAACTCTTTTCATTTTATATAACAGGGTTTGATAAGACGAATTTATGCAATTTAATTCAACGATTCAAGAAATGGTTCAAGAAAAACTTCATGTATCTCATACTTGTTCTCAAACCTAATGGGAAGGCGCGAGATTTCAGCTCAGAAGTCAGAGGTATCTTCTTTCGTTTAATAGCGCTTTCTCTGGAAATCGGCCTTAAAAGAAAAGGTCTATCTGGTTGCTCACTACTATATGACTGGGGAACTCAACCAATGAAAGATATCAGAAGGCAACCTTTGACCATTCTTATTTAAATAGAATCTCACATGAATGCATCCTTTGCTCACATACCAGCTCCATTAAGAATGTCTTGCGCTGCTTTGATTCTTTGTCGTCTACAATAAAATGTAAATCTCTCTAAGTTTCTGATAAATGGCATCAAAAGTAGGAAGGGATAATTGAGTCCTGGATTAGAGATTTAGAGCTCATGTGATCAGCGATATAGTGGAGTTTAGATGATTAAAAGAGGAATGGCTTCAGTTATTTCCCGCAACGGTACTGAGAGGCTCGGAAACTTATCCAAATGGCCAGTGAAGCAAACCAAACTAAAAGTGATGAGAGCTACAAGACGAAAACTAATGATTTTAAAACTAATGATTTCATTAATATGGGACAAATATTTTTCAAGTTATTTCATGATTTGAATCTAAATGCATTCAATTAAAATATAAAATTTGACTTATCCAAAAAATAAAGGTCAAAGTGATGAAATCACCTGAACACAAACATGATGAATATGAACCACACATGCATTATTAAGAATACCACGTCTGATATAAAAAATCACCACGTCTGATATAAAGAGAGATGAAAGTTTGTAGAAAGTTTTAAACAGGTAGACGATGGCAGCCTTTATTCACATTTAGAATATTGGATTTAGGTACACGTGAATTTGAAGTGGCAGTTATTATAGCTGGTTGTTCTGTAGCAGCAATAGTTGTTGGTTCAGTAACTAAAAAAAGACTGTAAGTAGTTCAAAACCATCTCGTCCAACGTCTATTTTCGGGAAAAAAAAATAATTATAAGGGAAGAGAGGAAATAGTACCATGAATTTGAATGCCACGTTGAAAATTGATTAAAGGACGAAGACATGATAGAAGAAATCCCATAATTGAATCGAACTCTGATAATCTTTTATTATCAATTTATCTTTACAACAGAATAATCTAAATATTCTTGAAATAATCTTCTTCAAATTAAATTCACTTGTGGGAATGCGAATGATACGTAGCCTTGGAAACGATTAGTATTTTAATTTAAACATTGATTTTATCAAGCTAATCTCATTAAAAATAATTTTGTCCAACTTCGTCACTCCAAATCTTATTATTAATATTTTATTGTTACTGATAATTAATACCTCTTCAACAACAAGAGAATTAATAAATACGAATCATTTAAAAATTTTATTCAAAGAAATAAATAAATCAACGAGGAAGTTATGAGCAGAATTATCAGAATTATCAGAACGAATTTTCGCCATTTTCATATAGTGAAACTGTTTTTTCGAAAAACGCACTTCCATCTCATTGAAAAATATTGCTAAAAATAGACTGAAATGAACTTGAGGAGTGGATTTTTGAAACACTTTCATATTCTCGAAATTTGTTTTTACACCCACCATTTCACTTGTCACATTTTATCATTTTTCGACATTTTTCACCTCTCTGATAACGAATTACCAAAGATAAAGATTGTCATTTACTAGAAAAATCTTTAAGAACAAATCAGAATGCAGAAACACGCAACTATCGCCGTCGCAGTTCACTTCGCAGTCGCTTTTCCAAGCAAATTTCCGCCTAATTTTATAATAATTTAAGAATGCAATTGTTGGGGTAAAAATTATTTGCCAAAGTTCCGCTCAAATTTTATTTTATTAATTATTACGCAAATTTTATAGCGACTTTGTTCACATTACGGCTACCGTATACCTACGCTTCAGTGATTTTTTTCTGCGAAAATTATTCTGAAGTTTTCCGTCTAAAAAAATGAATCGATTGAGGCAAATAACAAATCGATGAATAAAACTGAAACGGTAATTTTTTCACTTCCATTTTTTCAAATTGTCTACGATTCACTAATTTCGTTGACAATTTGCTTCGTTGACGATTTTCCGCCGAATGGAATTTCGTCCTACAAATTTGTCTCATAAAAATGGATTAATTATAAATTTTGAGGAAAATTCCTGAAAATTTCCGGAGCCTCGCTCATTGTGCAATATTGTTCAATCAATTGATTTAAAATTTAAGCCTCAAAATTGCAACAATATTTTCTGCCGATTTGGTTTGAACAAAGAACTTGTGATTGGTGTGGAATAAAGAAACTTATCGAAGGAAACTTTTAATGCAGAGAAAATTTATTATTTATTAGATATAAAATTTGTTAAAGAAATTTATTAAAATTTATTTATTTATCGAATTTATTTATCGAATTTTTTTCCACAGAGTTTTGAACTTTGCGCTATTAACTTTTTATTTAGTCTCAAAATGAAAATTTGTGCAATGTAATTTCGGTTTTGGCGATTTTTTGTTGTAGAAATTTACGAGTGACATTAAACGTCATCGGAGCGGATTGGTTACTCTTTTCCCTATTTCTTTCCCGTTTTCCTGTTTTCCATTCGATGAGGTTCCAGTAAGACTCCTCGCATCCATTTCTTTCTGGTTTCATTTTCGAATATTTCAATTTTTCTCGAAGGAAGAAAAAATTTGCATTTATTAATCGGAAAAAAATAAGGGAAAAGCTAAAGAAATCGACTGCGAAGGCGTTGTTTCATTTATTTTTCTAAAATTTTTTAAATTATTTTAACAAATGAAATAATTTTTTATTTTTTTTCTTTGCATTTTCGCACAAATGTTTTGCAGTTTCCTTATTCAATAAATAATTCTTTCAATAAATTACTATTGCAGTTTTTGACTTTTCTCCATTGTAAGTTTAAATTCGTTTGCTAATTTGTTGTTGGACTTTTTTTGGAATTTTTCTGAATTCCTTCTTTTTTTCAGTCGAACACTCTCGTTTCTTTCGTAATATTTTTTTAGCCTATAAATTATTTGCTACTGTGGAAGTAAATAGTGCGAGTATGGAATTTATCAATTTTTATGCTTATTTATCAGTTTTGTTTCTGTTTGCAAATGCACCGCCACCAAATCGTCCTTCAGCCTCAACTGCTCAGGAATATGATAAGACGGCACAAGAAATTTATGAAAGTTTTGCGGTTTGTTCGATTTTTTATTTTTTCATCCAACGAATTTTTTCCTATGCTTGGATAGTTTAAATGATTTTTGGTATTTTTGTTGTCTATTTATTTTGTCTTTCGTTTTTTTTTAAAATCAAACAGCAATAATTTATATAAATATGCTCATCAATGAAACGAATTTGTTATATTAGCTGAAATATCGAAATTTTTTTTTCAGCAAAAAGAAGTCGAACTCTATAAATACCTACAGGATGTGGTTTCATTTCTAGAAAAAGATCCGAAATTCGTTGAATCAGCTAGAAATTTATCGCCAGAAGAAATAAAGGTTTACTAGTTATTTTTTTACTTAATACCGATTTCGTAATAAAATGATTCATTCAACGCTTCCTTTAAAAAAGAATAGAGTACAGTAATGGCTGAGCGAGTTGTAATCCGGAAAAAAAATGTTGACGATTCACCTGTATTTTTTATCGTCAACTTTGACAAATATTTATTTGATATAACAAGCTGATGGAGCAAACCTAATGAATAATCGTATTTTTAGAAAAAACTTTAATAAGTAAAAAATGACAATTACGAATAAATTTTGCTTTCTGTTGAACGGTTAAGTTTACTAAGCTTTTAAATTCAATTTTCAGTCGGGCAAAATTGCTGATGCACTGGAAGTGCTGTCGCCTCATGTGCTTGAAAAATTAAAAGAACTAAAAAATCAAGAAATTCAGAGAATTCGGCGTGAAATCACGAAACAAATAGAACTCGATGGCGGCGCACACAATATAAAAGTTAGTTTTTTTATTCTATGTTTAAATTTTCATTTGTTAGCTGTTTGAAATTTCTCTACTTGTACTTTTAAAAAATCATGTACCTCAACAAATTTTTAGCTGCCAGAGCATTTGGATATAACTGATGAAAATTTCACTAAAGACGATCTTCGAAAATTGATTAAAGCGGTAATTGTTTTCAAATGTTCGTATAAATATGTATGATATATTTATGATATATTCTTGTATTTTGGTTTGTAAAATATTTTTTTAAAAATTAATAAGCAGAAAGTGCATAAAATCTTTCTGTCTTTATATTTTTTTTTCATATTTTTCTTCATATTTCTAAATATTTCATATTTTTTTTGTGATTTAAGAGATATTTGTCAAACTTTTTGTTTTTAATTTGAAAAATAATGTAGAAAAAATCGAATCGATTTTTATGATTACATAAGATTATATAAACTTTTCATTCTTCCTTTTATAGACTCTTCATCGAATAGATGAAATTGAAGAAAAGCGTAAGGAAGCATATAAAAATTACGAAATGGAGAAAAAAGCGAAGATCGATCACAAATTGGTTAAAATTTTCTCTTCATATTTTATTTGGAACATGGATTTTCGGTTTAATTTATTTTTTTATTTTTTGTTTTTTTATTTTATTATTGTTTCGCTAGCTTCGTTGGCTATAAAAATGTGGCTTTTCCAAGCATCCCTATACCATATCTGGAAGTGGCAGAAGTTCAAATTCTTTTCCATCGATTGCAAATTCTTTTCTGACCTAGTTTGCTGTTAGGTTTGGCATACAATGATTCTCTGTGAAGGGCGGTAAATAATATATTTTAATCATGGAATTCGCTGCAGTACTATTTGTGAATATTGTCTTCGAGTGAAAGTGAATCCTGTGAGATTCTGTGAGATTTTATAAATATTAAAATGCATCTTTGGAAGGAGTAATCAAAATCGATAGCCTAATATCTTTTATTCTGTTCGGCCATATGCAGCTATAAGAGAATTGTGATCAGTGCAGCGATTTCGAAGGCATTTCTATTACTGTACAATTACCCGTAACTATATTTTTTTGGAGCAATTTTAGCAAATAAATTTCCACAAATTTCCAATAGCATGCAATATAAATAAGCGAGTCACATTATGAAATTTTTTAAATATCTGTAGAAAACGATGACACCTGAAGAAAGAAAGGAATTCGAAACCGAACTGGAAAAGCAGATGCAAAGAAAAAAAGAAGAAGAATTGAAACATCCGGGTAGTCACGATCAATTGGTAGATGTTTGGGAAAAAGAAGATCAAGTATGATTTTTTCGTTCATATTTTCATGGGTATTCTAAAGATTTATTTAAATTATTTTTTTTTTGGAATTTTATAAGAAATTTTTATAGATGCGCAAAGAAGATTATAATTCTAAAACATTTTTTGCGTTGCATGATACAAATGGTGATGGATTTTGGAATAATGGGGAAATTATGGCTTTTTTAGAAGTTGAGCTTGATAAGCTTTATAATAGCTCGGAACCAGGCTATGATCCGGTGGAAAAGTTAGTTTTATTTCAATTTTTTGACTAAATTTCCTTATTTTTTGCGTCAATTTTGAATTCCTTATTATCCAGTTATTGTTACATCTCGTACTGCTATTATATTGTCGACTCGGCTTTTTGTAGTTTATTGGAAATATAAAAATTTATGGAAATTAAAATTTTGGAAACAATTTTTACAAGTTTCAGAGAGGAAGAAAAACTTCGTATGTTAAATCACATATTAAAACAATTGGATAAAAATGGGGATTCCCTTGTGTCACTGCAAGAGTTTCTAGAAGTTTGTGACTTTTTTTTTTAACCAGCTTCATAAAATTTTTTCATTTTGAATATTTCTTAAACTTTTGCATCATATTTTCTTTGTGGCTGGTCATTAATACAATATTTTAGGATGCACAGGCACAAGGCGCAAGCAAACCAGATGATTGGAAGGATAATTATGATGAGCAAGTCTATTCTCCTGAAGAGCTTCAAAAATTTGAAATGGAATATGCTCAACAGCAAGGTTGGAGTGACTTTGTTGATCCAACGACAGTGCCAGTGTCTACTGCTGCGACAAGTTGAACAATTGGTTGTAAATAATTTCAGGCCGAATTCTGTGATTTGAATTCCAACTGGATTTTCGATATTTTGTGGACTGTGGTATCATAAGGTCATGGTAATATATATTCTAAAGCTGCTTTAAACGTTTAAAGTTAAAGCTTATGTCTGTTCTTTCGTAATTTATTTCTGTTTATTATTTTTATGAAAGTATATTCTACCGAATGTACGAAATGATGTTTATAAAACTTTCATAATTAATTTGTACCTTGTTTATATTATAAGTGATTATATACTAGCACAGAAATATTTATCTCCAAAAATATAAATTTTTTTTGCATTGTACAAGAAATAGCATAAGTAAGAAAATTAATATGAAGTATAAAAAAAATTAATATGCAGTCTTTCTGATTGATAAAGAATATAAATTTTTTTTGAATATATTAATCGTGAACGTTGCTTGGATTTGTTGAATAGGAATTCTCTTATCTAACTGAATCAAATTCTAATAAAATATTAAGATAGTTAAGGTAATAGGTTTTTTATAATTATATTTTATAAAATTATTATTATTTTTGACTTTTGCAATATTTCCGCCTCAATATTTTTAATTTGTTATTTAAATTTTTTTCTATAGCATCGCCATTTCTGATTTGGCTTATTTACTAAAGCTCTTCACTTTCGAGAAAATCACATTGTGACAAATGGATTTGGAGTTCAAATTATTTGTTGGAAATGAAAATTGAGGCATAATTTTTTTTTTTGTAAAAAGTCGTTGTAATTAGAGAATTATATCAATGAATAAAATATTTTTGTGAAATATTTTGAATAAAAAGATACGAAACAGGAAAAGAAAATCAAATTCTTTACTTCTTTTTGCATATAAATATCTTGGTTATTATATCTGTTAGCTGTTAAAAGTTGTATTTTATTGCTAAAACATATTGGTGAAATGAGAGAATTAAAGAGAATAAAGTAAATATGGCTGAGAGAACGGTGAGAGATTTGTCGAACGAACGTTGGATGGACCGACATTCGATTGTAATATTAATCGAAAGGCGTTTCTGCTGCTTGCTGCATTACGGCTTTATATTTTAGAGAATTCTCCTTGGGAAATTCCTCAGTTTTAATCAATTTTCTTCAATTTTTCATCAAATCGTCTTTAAGCGAAGTTTTTTGGTTCTTTAAAATTCCATAAAATTTTCATGGTTCCTTGCGTCGAGCAAAACTGTTTGGTTCTTATCAGTTAGCAATTCTAATTTTCTCGTTAAAGGTTAAAATCGTATTGCTGCAAGCGATGTTTATCAAAGCTCGAATTTTTGCGTAGAAATATCTTTTAAAACATGGAATTTTTAAAGGTGAATTTGTGTGGAAATGAGAAAAACAAGCAATATTTTTGATAAAATGCGTTATTTTATAAATCATGACCAAGTGATTGATTCTGGTCGTTTTTCATTTAAAGGTTGCCGATAAAGTATTGGTTATTTATCTTTTTTACTTGCGTTACAATTGTAATATTTAGTAAAGTAAAGCGTAATTTTTCTTTTATTCGTAAATTTCGTGAATTTGTGGTGGTTTACATTTTCTCCTTCCGTGAATCCTTTGGATTCCTTCGAATATTTGTTTGGATTAATTTCTAACTAAGTTTTATCACAGTTCGTTTGATAAAAAACAAAAATGAGCATATTGGCCGACCATTTCAACTGGTTTTGCAAATATTTTATGGTTCATCATGTTTCATTTTTGACTGGATAGAGAGTTCCATGTTCTAAAAAAAAGTGTTCTTGTTTGGCACAGTTTAAATACATATTGTCCTAAGATCTTCTTCTTCTAACAGCTCTCACCATTATTGGTTAGGCTGGCTGGCTACAAGAGTAAGATGTCCAAGCTGCCCGGTCCGACGCCATTGCCAGTAGTAATAGAAGCAATTTCTTTTTCCATCGTCTAAGTCCATATATCGCTGGTTCCCCTATACGTTTAAAATCTTCCCTGACTGTATCAGTCCAGGTCTTGATTGGTCCACCTCGTTTTTGATGCCATTCACCACATGGTTTAGCAACTAACGAAATATACATCAACTCCTGTGGTGAACGACGGAGAATGTGCCCTAACCAGCGATTGCCTTAAGATCGCCAATAAAATATTGGTTATTTTATTTACCCTTATGCACATTTATTGGGCTATATTGGTGCATTTTGCTAAAAACTATAAAGTTCTGAAAAAAGGAAAATTTATGCCGTTTATCTTATCATAAAAACTATTCACTATGTTCAGCGGATGATTCATTATCAATTTTTCTCATGTAAAATTTGAGAATATAAAAAAATTTTCCAAGAGAAAAACAAAATTTGTTATTCGATAATTAATTTTTTTTTGTGCAATAAATCAAAACACGTGTCTAAGAATTTTTTGTAAAGTAGTAAATTATGCGGCAGAGGGCTAAAAATTATATTTTTAAAAAATTATATTTCCCATTCTTAGATAATTTGTTAGAATTTTGGTAATTAATTTTTAAATAAATTCATCTTAAATATTGTCCTACGGCAGTAATAAAGAAATTTTTTAAAGCCTTTTGGAGAATCTAAGCCTTTCATATCTTATCATATCATCATTGTCATAAGTAAATAAAAGTAACTATCCGAGTGTTGCTGACAAAACGTTTCCACTTCTGTCGCGAGACGAATCGCAAAAATTTCTAACCGTAATAAATGCCAGCTGAACGAGCCTAAGTAGAAAGCGTGAATCATATGCTTTACTTATTATTATTTATTATTATTAATAATATTGGTATTATCGTTGCTATGAATTCCAATATGGTTTATTTTCCTTGGAAATTAAAATACCATAAATAAATGGTGACAGTGGAAAAAAATATCACTGGGCATTTTAAAGCCATTTTGCAGTGTATACTATGCAGCAGAGGGCTAAAAATTATATTTTTATCATATCATATCATCATTGTCATAAGTAAATAAAAGTAACTATCCGAGTGTTGCTGACAGTGTATCTAAACTTGTGCTTAGATTTAGAGATTAAGTTCGGAATGCAATAGGAAATGCATTGTTTCAGTGCTTGGATGTATTTCATAATGGTGCAGCAAATCGTTGCACTGCCATAGCTCGCAGTTCATAATTTCATTGTTCTTTCAAAATCATTTCTATCTCATCCTTTCTTCTAAAACCGTTCGGCATTTCTTTCCTTGGCTTCGCTGATTACTTCATTTCGAGCCGAGTCTCAGCCTCATTCTTTAATAATAGGTAATTTCTTTAATAATAACAAATTTACCTTCTTTTAAAGCCTAAGAAATGAATTTAAAATATTTGAGCATCGACGAAACTTCTCCCATTTTGCGAATAAATTAAAAAGCATTGAATATTAAATAATTTACTGGAAATTAAATTGAGAATTCCATTCACAGGGAGATTTTTAAAGTGCTAACATTTGTAGAAATACTGCGAATTACTGTAGGCGGCGATCGATAGTGTTCGTAGAAATGAAGTGAATTTGTAATGTCGAAGACGACCTTCGAGTTCGACACTGAACAAATATTTTATTTTGTTTCATTTATTAATTAATTAATAAATTCTTCAAGGAATTTCCTGAAAAGACATTTCTTTTTTTGATGATTTTTGCAGAAATTAATTGAGAAAAAACGAAAAATTACTTCTATTGCTTTTTATTTGTAACAGATTTGTCGTTTGTTGCAATTTATTAATTATTTTATTTTTATTTTTAAAAATATACATATTTTCTTCATAAATATTTATTATAAATGTAAATATTTTCATAAATATGAACATTTTCTTTGTTTTCTTATTTAATTTTTGTTTTCTTATTTAAATTAGTTTTTTTGCTTTTATTTTTTTAAATACTTAAAATGTATTTAATTTTTTAACAAAAACTTGTATATGAAGTGGAGAGAACTTATACATTTCCTTCCTCATCTGACTCTCCGATGAAAAGGTTCCGTACGAGCAGCCAAGCAAAGCGAGACCAGAGGAGGAAAAGACGTTCACCGTTCACTGCCGCATGAAACACTGATAAGACCGCATCTAAGCCTCCCTCTAAGACCTCAAACTTCACTGATTTTAAGTCACAGAAATCTCCTCTTTTTGCGAATTGAAATATGTGAAATTAGACAAATTCACAGCAGTAAAATCCGATTTGGCATTTTAATATAAAAAATAAAATTCGAGGCATTTCGACGGTTTTCGTCTTTTATTTGCACTTTTTCAACCGATTATTCGATGGATTTTTTAAATATTTGTTAAATGCAATCTGTTCAGACAACAAAAATTCTTTCAGCATTATATTATTATATTTTTATTTTATATTTGTCATTGTAAAAACTAAAATTAGCGATCTTAAATTTTAGATTAAATACTTTAATTTTAAATTTCAAGTAAGATTAAGAATGGGTTTCGGACTTCGATTTTCGAGACTTGTGACCTGAGGGCTGATTTGCGAGCCTGTGACCTGAGGGCGGATTTGCGAGCCTGTGACCTGAGGGCGGACTTGCGAGCCTGTGACCTGAGGGCGGACTTGCGAGCCTGTGACCTGGGGGTAAACTCTTGAACTTGTAGGAGATTTCCGAATTTCGAAATGTCCTTAAAGAAGGCTCAGAAAAAAATTAAGATATTTAAAAGAATAAATATTTTTTGAACAAAAATTTTTCATTATAAATTGATAAATTATAATCAAACGATCAAACGTTAAAATTGAATATATTTTCCGCAACTGCTACCTTTTGCTTTCGTAAATTGTAATTCAAATTTTCCGCGGGCCGCGGGCCTTCTTTTTTCTTATTACCGAAGAGCCGTAAATTTGTAAGTCGAAAATTTTTGAAAATTTTTTTTCGGTTCTTTTTTCGTTCAATGTGGAGTTAATTTCTTCGCTTATTTTTCGTTTTACTTGATTCGATTTTACTTGTTCTTCGGCAGCGTTCCGATTTGGTCGGTTGTACGCTATGAATTTGAGGTACCAATGGCCCCCCGTAGCAACTCGGGTTTCACCTTCGATAACCGATTTGCTGTTGTTGAAGGGAATTAAACTTACTTAACCTTGTCCTTAATCGAAGTGATTTTTTTCACCATTGCTGGTTAAACTCTCTCCACTGGCTTGTTGGACATTGGACAAATATGCCTTGGCGATGGAAATACAGGTGAGTCGCCAGCGTCACCCGGATTTTTGGACAGGTTTCCTCCTGCTGGGAATAAAGCCTTAGTATGTACGCTCCGAATTGAGCAACAACCCACTAAGCTCTCTTATCCCCAGTCGAAATGATGTTTGTTAATTAAATAATAATAAAACTAAGAAGTGGGCCAAGTTTCGATTTGTTACTTTCCATGCCTTTGACGATTTTAGACTAATTTTTGCAGAGATAAAAGTGTTAACGAGTAAATTCAGTGAGATCTGAAAATAATAAGTGTTTTTTTCAGATTGGATGGAGAATGGACCAACGTTTGTTGCTAGTTGTTTTCGTATTCATCTTTACCATAACAATTCACGCTAATTATTGTAATTTTTTTTATTTTTTTCCGCTTATTTCGTGTAAAACTTTATTTTCCCAGTACTTTGGTCACCTTTTTTTCAGATGATCAATGCGATCAGCGTTCGTGCTATCCGGCGACTGGAAATTTGTTAATTGGTCGGAAACATCGATTAAGTGCCACGTCAACTTGCGGTTTGCACACTCGCCAACGCTATTGTATAGTCTCACATTTGGAAGAGCAAACAAAATGTTTTTATTGTGATAGCAGAACTGAATGGAGACCATACCGCGATCCACATCGTCTCAGTCATAGGTTTTATTCGTTCATCATTTTTTCACGAATGCATTCGGCTTTTTTCCCTTTCGAATTATTTATACATTTTTATCATTTTATTTTGAACTATCACTTATTGTCATTTTCTGCTTTATTTATTTATTTACGTTTATATTTCTTATTTTATTTTTACTAATGTAGGAATATCCTCGATAGCAGTAATTTGGTTTTTTCGCGATTTTATATTTATATTTGTTAAAGGATAGAAAATGTCGTAACAGAATCTTACGAAGATCGTAATCGTAATTGGTGGCAGTCAGAGAATGGTGTTCAGAATGTTTCAATAAGACTTGATTTAGAAGCCGAATTTCATTTCACTCATTTGATTATGACGTTTAAATCATTTCGTCCTGCTGCTATGATCATTGAGCGATCAGCTGATTTCGGCAAAACCTGGTAAATAGTTGCTTTTACGGTATATTCAAAAAATTTTTAAATGATTATTGAATATTGCTGGTTAATTCATTTCGCTTATCGAACTAGTCAAATAGGTTAGGGAGTTCCGTGGCGATAGAAGTATCGCCAGCATCAGCTGATTCAGAATATTTATTTATTTGTTTACTGAATATATATTCTGGAATATTTTTAAATTTAGCTCCAAATTGTATACTTATTGTATATTTATATTTTTCATTGTTTTTTTGCCGAAATTAAATAAGTTTTAAATAAGTGGAACAGATTCAGGATTTTTTTCAAAAACAATTAGTATTTATTTTATATAGAAAGTGATATTGATTTTTTATTTATTTTTTTAGGTTTTTTATTTTACTAATATTTATTTATTTTACTAATATCTGATTCAATTTTCTGTTTTCTTATTATTCATCAAGAATTTCAAAAATCTCTGTTGATATTTTTGATATTTCCTTTTTTCCTCTTATCCGATTTTACATTTTAGGTCAACATATCGCTATTTCGCCTACGATTGTGCAAATACCTTTCCGCAAATACCAGAGGGACCGCCAAAAAAGCATACCGATGTTATTTGCACTCGGAAATATAGTGATGTTGCTCCTTCAACTGGAGGAGAGGTTTATTTTTAATATTTGATCTTCTCACCACTGGAAATACATGAAAACATAAGTAAATAAATCATTTTCCAGCTAGTTTATAAAGTAATATCGCCACACATACCAACAGAAAATCCATATGCAGACGAAATCGCGAATTTATTAAAAATAACTAATTTAAGAATTAATTTTACAAAACTTCATACTCTCGGCGATGATCTTTTGGATTACAGGTTTTTTCTATTTTCTCAATCATGAGTTTTATTTTTTTTTCTTATGTTGCATACTTATTGCTTTACTTATTTCCGAGAAATTTTATCTCCAAGTCTATTACAGGCCAGAAATTGATGAAAAATATTATTATGCTGTTTATGAAATTGTTGTTAGAGGATCTTGTTCTTGCTATGGCCACGCACATCTATGCATTTCAATCGATGATAATTCGCAACGTCCATTTCCCTATCGTGCTGATATGGTAGTTCTTTTAATTTTATTAGGAGTGTTTTTCTACATATTCCTAGTTGGGTTTAATATTTATAATTACTTCTTCAAATATTCATTTTTTCATGTTCACGGACGTTGCAAATGTACTCATAATACAAAAGGATTAAATTGCGAACAATGTATGGATTTCTTCAATGATTTACCTTGGCGACCAGCATTAGGTGATGATTCGAATGAATGTAAGCGTTGTGAATGTAATGGGCATGCTGTACGATGTCATTTTGATCGCGCTGTTTACCAAGCCTCTGGTATTTTTTAAAATTTTTTGTTAAATATTGCTAATTTTCCCTATCTTTAATAATAATATAACAATACTTATTCAGTTTTTCAAAGATTTTTTATTGAATTTGAATTTAATATAATATTTTTTAAAATTCGTTGTTAAGGCTTCGTATCGGGAGGCGTTTGCGATGATTGTATGCATAATACGCAGGGTAAAAACTGTGAGCAATGCAAACCATTTTTCTATCGCAATCCTCAACGGCCTCTCAATGATTCGCATGTTTGTTTGCCCTGTGACTGTGATGAGGTATATTTTCAGTTTTATGAAATTTTGTGAAAAAAAATTATCAGTTTATATTTTTATTCTATGTTAATGATGACTATTTTACTGTATTTTATCATTGAGGCTGGTTCTCTCAATTCTGGGATATGTGAAGGAGAAGAAGATCGGCAGAAAGATCTCGTTGCAGGAAAATGCTATTGCAAAGCTAATGTGGATGGTCCGCGGTAGGTTTATTGCTATTTAAGATTTGTAATTCATGAAATTATTTATGATTTGCGATGAGAGTTTTTTCTCTTCAAATTCTTATTTCTAAAATTTTTTCATAATCTAAATTTTTGTTTTCTGAAAATTTATGGGATTTATTGGATTAACTTGGTTTGATATTTTCTCTAATTTTTTTTAAAAATTGCAATCGCAAATTTTTTTAAAGTTTATTAATTTTAAATTTAGTTGCGATCGATGCAAAAATGGTTTTTGGTCGTTGAACATTGATGATCCTGATGGCTGTAAGGCATGTAACTGCCATTTATTGGGAACATTCAATAATGAAGGATGTAATAAATATACAGGAGAATGTCTTTGTAAACGATTAGTCGCTGGCGAGAGTTGTGACCAGTGTCTTGTATGTTTTTTTCCAGTAGTTGGTATTTTCTTGCCCAATGAATTTTTTAAGATTCTAAAAGATTTGGTATATTTTTTTGAGTCTATTGTATTTTTAATTGCAATAGATTTTCATCTTTTCCAGCCGGAACATTATGGGCTAAATGAAGAAGCAGATGGCTGTAAGCCTTGCGATTGTGATATCGGCGGTTCTTTCGACAATAATTGTGATGCAATAACTGGTCAATGTAAATGTAGAGCGAATTTTAATGGTAGACGATGCGATAAACCAAATAATTCCTACTTTTGCGCGAATATTGACTATTATACTTACGAAGCTGAATCGGCTAATATCACTAATGTTCGTTAATTTTATATGTATTTTTGGACTTATTTTTTTTTAACGTATTTGTGGATATTATTTTTATCTTTGATATTTATTCAACAGTTTTTTCGATGATTATATTTTTTTTTTCTTTTTTTGTGAATATTTTTTTCTAACTTTTTTGTTTTTTTTGTTAGGGTGAAGTTCAACGGCGAATATATCCACAAAATGAGCGTGATCGTACTTGGACTGGGGAAGGTTTTGCTAGAGTCAATGAAAATTCATTATTGACTTTCAAAGTCGATAATTTGGCCCAAACTATGTATTATGCAATCATCATCAGATATGAAGAGCCACAGGTGAAAAAAAATAAAAATTCTGCATTTTTTCCTCAAATGTGATCTTTTTATCCTGCTAAATAAAAATTATTCAAATTTTCATTTATTTTTTTTCTAGAAAAAAAGTCTAACTTTGTAAGTTATTAATTATTTATTTATTTTAATTATTCAGCATCATGGTTGGGAAAATATTCAATTAACAGTTGTACGACCATCTGATCCTTCTCCTAACAGTATTTGTGCCAGTGCAATCCCTTCTGATGATTTCCTTATTGCGAGATTATATCCTGGAGGACGCTATCTTGAGGTATTGCATTAATTATGGTTTTTTCAGAAGAATATCTGTGCTCATTTCATATTTAGGTACAACCAACTGTTTGCTTAGAGGCAGATATTTTGTACGAGATCAGAGTACAATTTGGGGAAAGACGAACGGGATATCCTGATAGGTCAGCATCTGTATTAATCGATTCAATCGTTTTGGTACCGCCAGTGGATGCTCTTTCTATTTTCCAAGGATCCCCGAACGCCGATTATCATAAGTAGAGTTTTTTGCCGATATTTTTTCATTTCTATTATATTTTATAATGGTTTTCAAAAAATTTTTTTAGGATGGAATTCGAGCGCTATCAATGCCGACATCAAGCCATTTCACTTATCCCAATGTCTGCACTTTCCGATGTTTGTCAGCGATACATTTGTCCTGTAGCCGCTTCTGTCTTTAGTCGTGGCCTCGATTGCGCCTGTGATCCAACCGGCTCTTTTTCTGGAATTTGTGAGCCTAAAGGTGGACAATGTGATTGTAAGCCAAACGTTGTTGGTCGAAGGTTGTAATTTTATTCAGTTTAATTTAATTTATATTTTTTATGTAGTTGTTAAATAAAATTTTTAAATATATCTTAAACATACGTTGTCTTATTATATCGTTCATATTTATTTTTTTATTATAGTTTTTATAGTTTTAGAATAGCTAATATTGTGAAAACAGATAATATTATATTTCTTTATTTTTTATTTTATGATAACTTTATTAATATATATTTATTTCTATTAAAGATGCGACCGATGTGCGGTGGGAACATATGGATTCGGCCCATCAGGTTGTTCTAGTTGTGATTGTGATAGTGTTGGATCTTTGAATAATAATTGCGATCGGCAAAGTGGTCAATGTCTTTGCAGAGAACGTGGTATCACTGGAAGGCAAGGAGTTTCTTGCATTCTTTCGTTTTGCATTTGGTTATTTTCCAAATTTTGAGACATTTTGATCCATATGTTTTGTAACTGAAACTTTAAATTTTTGCGATATATTTTTGTAAAAGATGTTTGTTATTTTAGAATTATTATCTATAACTTTTGGTTAAACAAAAATAACAAGTTATAGTTTTTCATTTCAGACAATGTAATCAGTGCCAGCCTGGATTTTGGTCTTTTCCAAATTGTCGTGTTTGTCAGTGTAATGACCATGCCTCAATCTGCGATCAAAAAACTGGTGCTTGCATCGAATGCCGTGACCTTACAGATGGACATTACTGTGAACGTTGCAAGGTTCAGATCTGTTGAACAGTTCATTTAGTTAGGGTTATGGAATTTGCATTCAGCATTTTTATTATTTTCAGACAAGAAATTTTAGGATGGATATTATGGTGACCCTCGCCTTGGCGTTAATTTGCCGTGTAAACCTTGTCCTTGCCCTGGTGGCTTGGGAAGTGGTTTCCAGCATGCAGATACTTGTTATTTACGACCCAATAGCCAGTCATCCTCTCTCGATGTTATTTGTAATTGCAGGTACAAGCCTTTTGTAAATAGTTACTTGCATTTGAAAAAGCTAATTTTTAAAATTCATGATAATTGAAGCGTTGTTGATTCTAGCTTCTCGTCTTATTAGCAAAATTTTTTGATACCTTATATGCTATTCTCCAATATAATAGAAATTTACATCGTAGAATGGGCTACACTGGCGATCGATGTTCTATTTGTGCAGTTAATTATTGGGGTAATCCAAATGAATTGGGTGGAACTTGTGAAGCATGTGATTGCAATGGAAATATCGATGTAACTGTTGAAGGAAGCTGTGATGCTGAAACAGGCGAATGCATTAAATGCCTCTTTCATACTGAAGGAATTCAATGTGAGAATTGTATAGAAGGCTATTTTGGGGACGCAAAAATTCGTAGTTGCCAAAGGTTATTTGTAAAGCATTCAAATTTCAGTTCACAATATGAAATAACTTTCTCCTAATTTTGAAATATTTTATTTTATTGATTGAAAATCAACAAGCAGGACGGAAAACGCATGTGCTTGTACTAATTTGTTACTTGATTTGAACTTTTAATATCAGGTGTGTTTGTAATGAATTGGGGACAAATGCAACTGCTGGTGCGTGCGATCGTGTCACTGGTCAATGCCCTTGTTTGCCCAATGTTGTTGGACAACAATGTGAATCATGCGCAGCACACCATTTCAATATTGCAAGTGGTAAAGTTTCATTCGAATTTCTTAATAAAATTATGATCCACTGCCATTCTTAATCAGTTCTGTAATTACATAATTTGTTATGTTAGGAAAAGGTTGTGAGAAGTGTGATTGCGATCCAAGCGGTGTATTAATAAGGGAAGATGGTACTTCAGAAATGCAATGCAATCAAATTGATGGACATTGCCCATGCAAACCCGGAAGAGGTGGTCGTACATGGTAATTTTAGATTTTCCATGAGGTTTTAAATGTCTTTTCATTTTTATATTTCCATAAATTTCGCATGTTCCTTTTTTGATTTAATATTCTGATTTTCTCCACTTTTTATTTTAAGCTCGGATTGCCAAGATTATTATTGGGGTGACCCAGTTGTTGGCGAGTGTCGCAGATGCGAGTGTGATCCTATTGGATCCGCTACTCAACAATGTCATAGATCTAATGGGACATGCATGTGCCTTCCAGGATCAGGAGGTGCAATAACGTTTCTGTCATTTTCTGTTTTTTATTATAAAAATCTGTGAATGCTATAAAGCCGACAAAATATGCATTCCTTCACAATCCACAGTTTTCAGGCCCACTTTGTAATCAGTGCGCTCGTGGCTATACCGGAAATTGGCCATATTGTGAAGCATGTGGTGAATGTTTCCGCAATTGGGATGCCATTATTCATGATCTCAAGCAGCAAATTATTGTTCTGATCGGTATCGGTTTTTAAATATTCTTGTTTAACATTGACACATTGATTTGATTCATTTTTCGTTTTCTTAAAAATGACCATTCATAATTAGAAGTATCCATTCAAAATATTTTCTTTTCTAGTCATTTTTGACAAGTCATTTTTCAGAAAAAGCTAACAATATCGAAGATATTGGAGTTTCATCAGTTTATGATGAAGCTTTTGAAAAAATGGAAAGTTCTCTGTTAGATATGAAAACACAACTGGAATCAAGTAATTTAACTAAAAGCGATATCGAAAATCTTCAATCGGAAATGGAAAATCTTTTAAACAAAGTATGTTTATTTGGTTTTTGAATAAACCATATCATTTTTAGCGCTTTATTCTGTAAATATAAAAATTTGTATTATTTTAAATCATTAATTTTAAAAGGAATGCCTGATGAAAGTAATTTTGGCTGAAGATTCTTTATTTGTTTAGAAATATTTTCTCAGTTATGTGCTTAAGGTAAGTTCCAAAAAAGAGAGGTTGAATGATGTTGGCACAAGGATGACTCAGGCTTCAAGTGCTGTAGATAATGCTGCTGAGGATTTGAAATCTTTATTGATAATTGCTGAACAGCTTACTGCTAAAGCAAATGCTCTGAATGAAAATGCTACAATATTGCGTGAAGCAAATGTTCAGGTTTTATTTCATATTATTTCGTATTTTTTCTTCAATTTTTACTATTTGGAACTCCAATCTTCAGGATTTATTTCTTTGTTTTGCTCTATTATTTAATAAATATTCTTCATTAAAATTCCATCTTCTAGCCTGTGGCATGGTTTATTGTTTTTGAATGGAAACTGGATATTTTATATAAAAATAAATTGTGGTTACCTCAGCAGTTTTACATGATTCACTTTAGGGAGCTTACAATATTACCAAAGAATCTGCAGAAAAGTCATCAGAAGCTAAAAGAATGATCGATCAGGCCATTTCTAAAATTGCTACCGCGGAAAGTGATCGAAGAGAAGCCGAATCACTTGTAGAAAATAACCAGCTCGATTTTGAAAAACAATTTACGGAGAACGAAATGGCTCTTGAAGAAGCTAACAAGAAGGTTTGCTATTATCGTTTCAATCTTCTATTATATGTTTCAAAGATTTTTCTGTCACTTAACTGGAATTTTTTTATTCTTTTAGCATATGGTTTTTTTCTAGCTGACCAGCTTTGAATCATTCTTAACCGGTTTGAATAAAGACGTTTGCGGAGCTGAAGAAACACCTTGCGATAAACTTTGTGGTGGACCCGGATCGTGTGGTCATTGTGGTGGCCGATCATGTCTGGATGGATCTGTCAGCAAAGCTGAGCAAGCTCTTCTATTTGCCAGTGAGGCTAATCAAAAATTAAACGAAAAACAAAAGGAAGCTGAAGAAGTATTACATTATATCTTGCCCATTTTTCATGCCATTTTGTGATCTTACTTCAAATTTAGTTTAATTTTAAATTTTTTTTTGCTCTTTTAGATTTTGAAGCGTGTAAGAATTATCTTAATGGAAACCTCTGTCACCAAAAGTAAAGCAATTGATGGCCATAATATTGCTGAAGCTGTGGCGAAGCAGGTTATATTATACTACATTCTTTTGTAAATTAACACTTTAATTTTAATCTGTTGGATTTAGAAAAGTTTTAAAGCGAAGAATTTGGGGAATATACTGGTGATTAACCAAAAAATTATTTAGGCGAATCAAATAAAAAATGCTACCGAAGAAATCATTAAAGAAATGAATGAATTTTTGCAAAGCGAACGATCAAGTCCAGAGCAGATTCGAACTTTAGCGGAAGAAATCGTTAATTTAACAATTTCGCTTACTCCAAATCAAATTCAAGTTCTTGCTAATCAAGTGAGTGGTAACCATTTATATTTTTTAATTAATTCATATTAATTCATATTAATTAATCTATTAATTCATATTTCGTATGTCTGTGCTGATGTTTCATTTAGAATTGTAGATTCACTTAGTTTATGGTTAATTTTATTTAGATTCGTGAAAATTTAATGAAAATTAATAATATTGATTCAATATTGGAAGAAACGAAAGGAAACAAATCAATCGCGGCTTCACTTCAAAAAGTTGCTGAAACTGCCAGCAACCGAGCTGCAGAAATCAGGTTTATTTTTTTCAAATTCCTCATTTTATTCCATTGTTTGCCATTATTTCTTTAGTTTTTCCATTTTCACTTTATGTTCTTTTAGTGGAAAATTTTTTAAAATTAGGCTTAGAAAATAGAAAAAAAATGAATTTTTTGCATATTAATAATTTTTTTGATTTTTTTTTGTAGAATGCAATTCTTTTTTCCGGTGATTCTTAAACGTTTCCTCTGTTTAGAAATACAACAACAGCTGTCAGAGACGCATTAATGCGGACCACAGAAGCTCAGGATTCTGCACAATTAGCAATTGACGATGCAAGAAAACAAATTGCAGATGCAAAGTATCTTTTTCATTTTTTGCTTTCATTCTTTGAACTGTCTCCAGTGGTTTTCATAGTTGCCTTCTCAAATTTTAATTTCACCAAATATTATTTTATAAATTTTTGCTGCAGAGTTGATTTACAAGATGCTCGAGACGAAACTAAAAAAGCTGAGGAGTTTTCAATTACTTCAAATGAGTCTTTATCAAAGCTAGAAGATGACATGAAGAACGTTCGAGTGCAATATCTCCAAATTTCTGAATATGCAAAAAATGCATATGAAGCAGCTGATAAAGCTATCCAGCAAGCAGCAGTGGCTGAGGCTGCTGGTGAACAACTGAAAGTGGAGTTCCATTTCATATTTTCAAATATTACGTCTTGATTTTATTCCGAATTATATAAAAATTTCTTTTATAGAAAGATCTTCAATCTGCTGAAGAACTATTAGCAAATCGGAGAGGCATCAGTGAACAACCGCAGGCTAGGGCAGAACAGTTGAGACAACGTGCTACTCATTTACTTCACATGACAGAGCGGCATCGTGATGATATTGCTCGTATGTACATTTTGCGTTTTATTTTGGTTTGCAAAAAATTATATGACTGTATGATAAATTATACAATAAATTATTTCAGAGCTCACTGCTGATGTAGATGCTTCAGATGTTCGACTTGGAGAATATGATCGAACTGTAGCTGAACTTCATTCTCGAATTGATCGAGTGACTGAAGAAATTCACAAACAAATCGAATATTATTCAACATGTGATGTTTAATTTTTTTGTTTTCCATTTCTATCACGAAAAGTTAATATTTTGCCCATTTGTTGTTTTTATATTTGTTCTTATTTTATGCTGCCAGTTTTATATGTGAGGTGCTATGTTTAACAATTAGGTGTCATTTTTTATTTATTTTTCCTTCGTTAGCTCAGTTTTTCTCATTTTCTAATTCCGTCAAGAATCGTAAATCATATTTTATAATGTTCCCAATTTTTTGGGAAATGAATAATATATTATTTTCATGCTCCTTATTTTGAATTATCATTTTTATGCGATCATTTCAACAACACATCTGTATGCTATATGGTATAGTCTTCAGATCTATTTTTGGCGGAAAAAAGCCCAGATATAAATGCTTAAAAATTACATCACTAAATGAAATCTGCTGCAAATCTTTGAGATAATTTTTAATTTTGTAATTTTAAAACTTCTTTGGCCAGCCAAGATTTTGTATATTGATCACGGAATTTGCATCACGAAATTATTATTGGGAAATTTCCAAATCACTTTTTGTGGATACATTAGATTTCAGATATTAAGTTTCAAAGTTTTAATAGCGAGAAAATATTTGTGGTTAATTAAGATGTCCGTTGAATCTGTTAAATGATTGGCCTGAAGTTAATTAAATTTGTAATAAAAAAGTTATGAAAAATGATCCATTTGAATAATCTTCATTCATAACAAATTAAACATAATATCTCATTTACTGTGGAATAATTACAACAGCTGACAAAGCATAAATAGGTCGAGCAAGATGAGGATGAATTATTATTAGTATTTTGTCATTTCAAAATAGAAATAGAAAATTTTTCGGATTCTTCGAAAGAGCTGATTTTTGCTGATTTTTTAGGTTTCTCACTTTTCCTAGTTGCGCGCAAGATATTTTATTTAAAGGAAATTTGGCTCAGCTTACGGTATTAATTGCGAAGCAATCCAGCAATTTAAAAAATTAGATTAATAGAAAAATTTGAGATTACTGGAGAAGTACTCGGAGAAGTTTCGGAGTCTTTCAACATCTTATTTGTTTGCTGTTAAGTGGCTGAGATTTGAAAAGTATCGTTGAAGCAACCAAATTGTTTCGAACAAATCAGTCCGTCCATATATGCTTATTTCGGATTTACTGTAAACCTACCGTAATTCAGCAGTGCGCCTTTTTCCAAAATTTGTCGTCTCATTAGGAAAATTGAAAATATCAAAAATACTTATTTTAAATTTATCTAAGTAAAAGGAATAAAGTAATTGGTAAATCCAATCTAATCGACTAATATAAAATCTTAAATCGAATGGTATTTATGGTCGAATTTCGAGTTCGTTTATTTGTTCACCATCTGGTGCGAAGACAAATCAACGTTAATTAAGCGAAATTTATCCAATTAGTGTATATTTGGTGTAATATGATAATATAATGCAATGGATACATGGATGAATATGAAATTTCCGTGCATTGCAGTCAGCGAGGAAAAGCGAGATCGGTCGTCGAAACATTTTATACATGAACATAAGATTCTCTTCCTTCTCATCCCCTTCCTCCTCCTCTTTCTCCTCCTCTCTCTCGTAAAAGCTCACTGATCCTCATGGAAATCATTTAATTAATTATTTTTTTATTTAAATGATATCAACGACAAATGAAAACTTTATTTCGCTTCTTTTATCGTTGTTCAACTTAAAATAGAATTCAGTCAAGTAATGTTGTTCATCGCATCCTTACACGGCATTCATCATCCCCGGTTTGAATTGGTTCTAATGAGCACAAATTTAGAAACAAATCATTGAAAATTCTTGAAAAATGCAAAGTTATCTTTGTGTTTTTGCAAAAAAATTTTTTTCGAAATTCTTTTTTATTTAAAATTAGAGGAACAAACGAACCCCCTGGTGATTTTTTAACACAGGCAGAAAGAGTGATACTTAATCGGAGCTGATGTTTCTTAAAATTATGAGGTTGGGAAAAGAATTTCAGTTGTTCTTTACGGTTCATTGGCAGAGATTTTCTCAATTAATCAGCAAATTATTTTAGTAATTTTCACATATTTCTTCTTTTTGCAAATTTCAAATTTCGGAAATTTGAAATTTTTAAAAGCAATAATTTTAACTTAGAAGATCACTGATTCTTATGGAAATTATCTAATTAATTGTTTTTTCATTTAAATAACGATTTATGGACGGCAAATAAAATTTTATGTCGTTTTTTTTATCGTTCTCCAACTTAAAATTGAATTCAATCAAGTAATAAGTTGAAATCAAAATGGAATTAACTAATTCACAATAATTTATATAATCACTCAACGCCAGGCAGGCTAGTACCAATCACTGCTAAGGTGAGTCTCGCCCGCTTGAGAATCATTCGTAATTAAAAATGCAGGGATCTCGAGGATAAATGCGATTTCATATTGATAGATTTGTTCTCTTCAAATCCTTATCTTTTTATATTTGATCGGTGTTCATTGGTTTTATTTGTTATTTCCATCAAACTCTTGAATTCTAAAATTTTTTTAGGAGCCGAACTGTTTCAGCTATTAAGAATATCCACGAATTTCTCGAATTTTTTTGCACTTTACGGCTAATGAAAGATTTACAACTCTAATGAAAGATTAACAATTCTTCGACTCGACAACTCGTCTCATTTTTCATTTTAATACGTAAAACATATTATTTAGCGAAAAAAAAGCAGAGAGAATGAAGCAATTGATTAAGTTGTATAATTTATATTTATATAATTATAAGAGAGGAGGAATGACGATTGGAATAAAAGTCGAGATCGAACTTCAGATTAGAATAAATTGCGTAGTTGGCGCCGCCGCTATTACTTTCATTCTTTTTACTTTTACAAGAAATCATTCAACGAAAAAGATTTGTCGTAAGATTTTTCGTAATTTAATTTATTCGCATCGCTCACTTTTTGGCCTTTCTTTTATTTTTACCATTCAAAAAATAAAAATAATTTTTTCCAGAAAAAACAATTTATTTGGTTCAATTTTCTCTTATTGCCTACTCGCCGACTAATAAATTTTCATTTTCTCATTTTTAATTTTATTATTAGTTTTTTCATTCTTCGATTCATTTTTCGAATTATTATTATTTTTGATTTATAATCCGTAAAATTCAATTTATAGTTTTTGCTGAATTTTGGAAACTTTTTTCTAGTAAATTTGCAATTGTAATAGGAAATTGTAGAAATCCATTTATTCGATTATTTAGATAAATAAAATTTTTTCAAATATTTTCAAATAGTTGTCTTGGTGAAATTCTTCGGGAGGATTCCTTTATATGTTAAAATTTGTATTTTGGGAATTTCAATTAGAGAATTTTCTTTGATATAGTTTTTACAGTCAACCATACTGTTTGTTTTATTATTTTTACTATTTTTCTAAAAATAATAAAGTAAAAAGATTTCAGCTCGTTTAATAACCTCAATTTTTCATTTTTGATTTGCTAAATGAACATTGCATTAATAAATTTAAATTTATTAATATTATATAAATAATATTAATTTTATATTGTATTCAACTAGTATAATAGTTATATTGTATTAAATTATATTAAATTCATCGTAATTATCGAATTATCGAAAAATTTATCGTAATTTTCAGTGAAAATTTTCCAATATGCCACAGATAATTTCTAGTTACATTATTATATTCCATTATTAAGAATTAAAAAACGTATTTCTAATTTTTATTAGAATTTTATCAGAATTTGAAAGATTGGAACTTGAAAAGAATGATTATTCAGTTCAGTTAATTCATTTAAAATTTAGCGATAAGAAGTATTCGTAATAATTGGCGACAGCTGTTTTAAAATTTAAAAATCGAAGTTCCAGTTAAAGATCGATCGGCAAAATTTCAAAAATTTTTGATTTTCTTAGTGAAATTTTAAAATTCACAAATTCCATCATAAATTTTGTTTTACTCGAGTTTTGGAAAATCTCCTCCATTTAATATTTCTTCGTATATTCAATTTGATTTGAAGAAATTCGTATTTTGGGAATTTCAATTAGAGAATTTTCTTTGATATAGTTTCTACAATCAACCATACTGTTTGTTTTATTATTTTTACTATTTTTCTAAAAATAATAAAGTAAAAAGATTTCAGCTCGTCTAATAACCTCAATTTTTCATTTTTGATTTGCTAAATGAACATTGCATTAATAACGATTTAATAATAATAATAATAAATAATAATTAAAAATATAATAAAAAGCAATAAATCTTTCTTTCAAATCTAAATTTAAATTCTTATATGCAGTAACTTTGTGCTTTTTTTTAGAAGAATGTTTTCTTCAAATTTTATCTTCAAACTTACGTATAAATCACGACTAAAATAAAAAGATTTTGACTGAATCTGATTTTTCTTTCTCATTTGTGAAGCACTAATTTTATTTATTTAAATAATAAATTGCTACATTAAATAATATAATTATAGAAAAATACGATATAGTAGTTATATAGTTAATTAATTAAATTAAAGGTTGCGATGAAGATGGGCTTTCAAAAGGTCATATAAAGCTTGAATGAGATAGGAGGAGTCAAAAAATATTTGTTAAAATAAGGACAGAACTGAGCGATTTTAATCTCGTATTATTTGTATTATTTAATGGATAATACTGACCGTTTTCCTTTTTCAAACAATTATTTTTTATTAAATTTTAGTTATTTTTACTAAACTATTTTACTAATTTTACTACACTATATTTTTACTAATTAATATTATTGCTATTATATTATTATTTTTACTATAAAATTAACTAAGCGAGTAATTTTTAAGCAAATTTTCCAATCTTAAATCTTATGCGAAATTGAACAATTTGTACAGACTTTGCAAGTTTCGATTTCTTTTTGCCATTTCTAGCTGCATTGCTTATTAAATTGAAGCACTTCTTCCAGGAAATCAGTTATTGTGGATAAAATAGGCTCCTTAGATTTATCTGGATCTCATTTTTAATATCACTTCGTTATCATTCGCCACCATCAAGACAGAGAAATTAAACCTATGCCGTTCATTGTCAATAATGACTTTAGGCATTTTTGACATTGATTTTTAACTTCCTTCAAAGATAAATTTATGTTAAAATTAAAATAGACTTATTTTTGGAGTTTGTTAAGGTTTTCTTCAAATCTGATTTGATTACTTGATGCAATATTCTAATAAAAATTCAAAGTACATGTTTCCTGTTTCCTTAACTAAAAATTTTCTTCTAAGTTTGAATTTTTTTATTTCAAGAAATTTGAAAATGATTTCCGCGTCGATTTTTTATTTTTATATTTAAAACAATTGACTGCATTGCCATGCAAAAAAAAGAATGATTTATGGAAGTAAATTATTGGTTCAATCAAAGTAAGAATTAGTATTTATATAAATGAGTTTATGTGCGTTCATGTTTAGTTCTAAAAAATCAAAATCTTTGTTAGTTTCTACAAAAATGAAATAAATCACTGCGTTAATGATGTTCACTTATCTTCCATCGATGCACAACTGTTCTGTAATTAAATCATTCATTGTAAAGGTGCTAAAATCTTTACCTATTTTCTCAACTTCACATTACTAATTACTTACCGTTTTAACTCAAAAAAAGAAGAAAATCAATTAAAAAATCAATTAAAATTATTATTAGAAATAATTTCGAAATTCCTTATGGTATGGAACTTGTACAGTGTTGCCTTAAGCGATTTGTTTTGAGGTGAAAAATTCGAGAATTTTTCGGCTCAAATTAATGTACAGCGAATAGGCAATATAAATATAATGATTTGTTTTCAGGAATTTTCATGAAATAATGGTTATTGCTGGAAAACGTGATAGAATAATTCGGTTTGAAAAGAAAGATTCGTACGAGTAGAACGGTATTATAAATATAAAATAATGCTGATGTAAATTATTTTGGATGAATATAACGAAGATTTCTTTTTCGAAGAAACAATGCAATCACAACGTGAATGCCTTATCAACTCGCCAATAAACTCATTTGCATTATTATCAAATAAAACTACTATTTCAAGTACTACAAACAAATTATCGTGCCACGTTGTCGCATGTGATAACGAATTCAGGACAAACCATCACTGCCGTTTCGATTTCTCTTCAGTTTACAACTGTGAAGTTTATTTTAAGATTTTGGTGGCTATAGCACTGCTCTGTGTTGGTAGTTGTATAACAATTCAACATATTAGAATATCAGCTCTAGAAGATCGATTAAAAAGGATCGAATTACGATTGGTGACTAAAGAGGTCAGTTGGTTTTTTTCCGCAATTGGTAATTGGGTAAATAAAGGTCATATTCATTGTCACCATTCTCTATATACTCAGCTGCTAGAAAGAAATATTCAATTATCAAATTGTTATCTTATATGCAGTTGAGTTGTGGAGATAAGGTGCGCCTAAAACGCCAGAGAATTCAAATTTCGCTTAAACATTTCGGAATATCTTTGGCTTGTTCTATGAATGAAGCGAACAAAAAATTGGGCTATTTTTTCTTAGAAAAAAAATCCCTTCGCTTCCAGAAGCCAAATTTCAATTTCTTAATTATTCTTAATGGCGACTACTGAAAAGAAATTAAGACTTGAGCATTAATGGAAGAGTTAACAAGAGATTTGATTAAAACTATTGCAACTTTCTGGTTGACTGGTTCATTGTTTTGGCTAATTTCAAGTGTTATGGTTCATATCTGCCTATGAGACTAAATCTGTCTCTCAATTGTTACCACTTAACCAACTTTCACCATTTAGTTCATTGGATTTTAGATTTATGATAAATATTTATTAATTTGCTTTTATTGATTATTGTACATGAAAATTAAAAATTAATACCATAAAATTTCTCAAAAAATTCAGAAAAAAATATTGCCAATAAAAATTGAAGATTTCTCGTTACGTAATAAAAATAAATTATAATAGAAATAAAAGCGCTTAAGCGTGTCGAACTGGTTTATTAATGGAATCTTGACATTTCTTTTTTTACTTTTGTTAGGCCCCTTTCTTTTATTATGCTTTATTACCTTTCATTTAATTAGGTACTTTTCTCTTTTAATTTATTGTTGCCATAAATAATGAGCAGATGGGTTTTTTTCGCAAATTACGCTAATCAAAGAAAAGTATTATTTGTATTATTCATGAATAATACTTAACTTATGTTAATAAAATGGGCGATTTTTTTGGTGAATTCCATTAACTCTAATTTTCGATTTTTTTTCATTATTGTTTTAAATTTTAATTTTAATTTTAATAATTAACAGTATATAGGGATCAATTCATTTCTATCGCTTAGCACTGTTTTAACCAATTTTTGAATTCTAACTTTATTGGTTGACATTTGGTAAATATTTGTGTGCCTATTTCGGGTTTTTCTGATTGATTGTAATCTAAATATTTAGCAATTAGTGGTATTTGTGATGTCAAAAATTTTCCTTAATGATATTCACCGCATTTATCTTCGTTAATATTTAAGATAATCTAAACTTTGTAAATAACACTGAAAATAATCAATGCTTCAAGTTGGCTTTCCAAAAATAAATGGTTTTTAGTTAATAATTTAGGATATTAATTGCAAAGGAATTATTATTTAAATGATTAAATGATTTATGATTTTTAAATGATTTATTTTAAACAATTTGCAATTTTCAGTTTTGCAATTTTCGCAAGAAATTTCAAAATTCATCATTTTTTTTTAATTATGAAAGATTATAATTTAAAAAAATTGGAAAATTTCTGAATTGCTATAGGAGGCGTAAAAGTTTATTTCAGGATTTTGGTAAAGTAAATTCAACTCGACATGCTCGGTCACCACAACACGAATTAAATTGCAATTGTCCTAGAGGTAAATCGTTATAATACTGGTGAATATAAATGGTTTTTCTTTTGGTCATGCTCGATTCATTGGCTGTTATTACGATGAGAGCAATTCTTGTCAGTAGGTCACTTGGATATAGAAGTATAAGTGTTCTCCTGAACCATTCAGAACTATACAAGAACTGAAATATAATTTCTTAAAAAATAGATTTTCATGGATTTTTTACTGAGCGATTGAAATATTTTTTATATGGGATTATATTTTTTATAGCAAAAATTAATATGAATCTAGAGAAACGAATTGATTGATTGATGAGAAATATCATAATGATAATAGATAATTCCTGTCTTTTGATGGAATAAACCTACCACTGAAAGAGAAATCTGAGCAGAGATAGGGCCCACTCATATCTCTAACGACAAGTGACTCGCAGACAAGGGAGACTTATCCTAATAACCAGTGCGATTGCCAAAGGATGGTGATCTATCAAAATTATGAAAAAAATAAAGCAGAAAATTTGATGACTTTGACATTTCATTTTAAGTACTATTTGCTGATGTTTGCCTAATCTATTAGACTATTCAAATAATATTGAATGTGTCAGTTATCTTCAATTTATGCGCTAAGAATATAAGAAGGATCAAATCAATCACTTCAATCTTCAAAGTTTGAGTTGACGAGAAGAAAAAAAATTCAGAAGTTGTTATGATCTTCGAATATCTTTGATCCACCTAAATTTTTATAGCTATTATGAGGAATATAAAAGCCCAATAGGGGAAGGAAGGTGATATTGTTAAAAATTATGGCAAAATTCACTTTGATGTGGATAGTGCACAGTAATATTGACAAAAATGTCGGCAAAATTCATACAGTAGCTTGACTTTAAGCACTGCTTAAATGATGTTCCATCTTAGTTCGATATCATAAATAGGGAAAATGGAAAATTTCTTATAAAATAATGCATGCTTGTTTTGATGGTTGAGAGTTTGTGTGCTGGTTCAACTGCTGGCAAGTAGCGTAGGTTTGCTTTCTGGTTTTTTGGTGAAAGCGCCATATGAACACCTTGGCCTAATAATTCGAGCCAACGAGCCGGTGGCCAGTGTATAGTTTTCATACTACGTTTGATCAATCAGACTGCATGCCAGTTTATTAATTTATTACATCTTTTGCTTACTGTTAAAAATATGAAAAATTAAAATATCGAACTTATAGGAATAGCTTTTCTTTCGCTAAATTCTGTTTAAAATTCTGCTAATTTTTTCATATCATCTGAAAAAGTTAAATGCAATTTAAAATTCTAACAATTTTTAAATTTAGGACCAAAAGGTGAACCGGGACTAATGGTAAGTTATTAAATTTCTCCATGTTCTTTTTCATTTTCTTATGATTTTACTCAAAAATCATTTATTGTTTTCTACACTAAATTATAATTTACTAAAATTGTTATGGTGCGTTGCAGCTAACTTTGGTTTTTTGATGCATTGGTGCATTGGTACTTTGTCTCTTGCTACCTCTTTTCATTTGTAAAATATGGTTATGTTGTTAGCTCGTTTTTTCATGCCTTTATGCTTATTGTGTGCTACTCATAGTTCAAGATTTTTTTTATTTGAGTTTGTATTTTGGTTAGAGTGTTAACTTTTTTTGGATTATTGAGCTTTTTTTTTTTCACGGAGCAAGATGAAAGAACCGTGTCACGATGGCTCATAATAAATAGCAAATCAAAATACGAATTGGAGGCATTTTTTATATTTTGAATTTAATAATGAAAAAGGCTTGCAAGAAAGTTTTGCAGCGTTCTAGGAGAATATCTCAACGACATCGATCATTTCGATTTCTTTATTCGCCGAATGGCCAATCAATACAACTAAGAGGAATTCCAGGCCCCCCTGGTCCCCCTGTATGTTGTGAAAACTTTTTTAAATACATGATTGCACATGGTTTTTTTTAGCATTTTCTTTCTTACTTACTTTTTTTTTACATTTTTTTACTAAGAACTGCTAGAAGAAAATTAAAACTTTATATTTATTTATATTTAGGGACTCAAAGGTGTGCGCGGGTATCCTGGTTTTCCTGGTCCAATAGGGCTCGATGGGCCAAAAGGAGTTAATGTAAATTCTTGAAATCTTTCATGATCTATTTCGTTTTACTATAGTATAATCATGGTTATTATTATTATATTTTATTTTATTCAGGGCTTACCAGGAGCGAAGGGAGAACCTGGTGAACGAGGGCCAATTGGGCCACCAGGACTTCCAGGTCCTAAAGGTGATCGTGGCTACAACATTCCTTTCAGTGCTTTGCAGGTTAATTCATTTTCCTATGTTATTTGCTTTTGGCGTTCTTTTATTAACTTTTATTTTTAACAATTCTACTGTGAAAAATGTGAATTCTTTCACCTTTTTACTTTCTATTTTTACTTTTTTACTTTCAACGATAACTTTGTTGATAACTTGATCATAATACTTATAAATTAATTTTTAAATTTCCACCTTCTTTCGTTTGATTTAAATTTCGTTTGATGTTAATTAACTATTTTGAAGACGATTAATTTTTCGTTCACTAAAAGTTCTTTAAATATTGCAAAATACAGGCTGATGATCCCTATGACGGATGGGATCCTATCGATGCCATTAATGATTATCCTTCTTTCTATAACTCATATAAAGTAAAAATCATTTTAAAGCACTATCGTTTTTGGTATATTTGTTTGTTGTATCTCCTTGAATAATATGAATAATATATATCTCTTGAAGGATCTTGTCGTAAATGAAGCACTCACTTTCGCTTTAAAAATTTAAACTTGACATATTTTTTTGCAGAATGCGATATGTCTGCATTGCTAATCTGCCTGTCACTTCAGTAAAATAAAGAAGAATAAAGCAAGCGATATCTTCTCACTGCTTTATTTAGAAATTCAACAAATTATTTGGCTATTTTATAGCATAAATTCATTTATAACAAGATTCATATCATGAAATGCATGCGATTCTTAAATTTTCTCAGAATTCCTCATATTACTACCCACTAGCTTTGGTTGGATGATGCACGATAAACAAAATCAAAATGAATCTACTATACCTTTGTAAATTTGTTGCATGAGATATTTAACTTAGTAGAATGTGCAAAATCATTTTTTAAGAAATCTTAATGAAGATAAATTCTAGGTGAATGATGCCAACCAACTTACACCATCACTTATACAGGTAATATTGATAAATTTGTTTGCAACCCGGATGATAACCTTATTTTTTACTGTATAAATTATTATTATTGAATAAATTATTATTTTTACATAAATAAAGATTCAACATTTTTTTTCTAACAATAAAAACTGAATTTTTTTCGTTAGCCTTAGTATCTTGTTCATATTTTTATATACTCTCTACACTATTTGAAAATTCTTCTTTTCGCCATTATAAATTTTCAGGGACCACCAGGTCCCCCTGGTCCTCCAGGTGAGGCTGGCAAACCAGGTGCGCCAGGACCGAAAGGCGACAGAGGTTTGCCAGGATTTGATGGAGAAACTACTGTTGGTCAAAAAGGAGAACCAGGCAAAACAGGACCGCCAGGAAAGCCTGGTCCTCCTGGTCCTCCCGGTGCTCTTGGTCCACGAGGTTATAAGGTTTGTTCCGATTCGTTTTTTCTTATTTTTTTTATCGTGGTGCACCATTTATTATATATAGACTGTTGAAGTAAAATCGTGGTTATATTTAGTTAATTAGTCGCATGAATATTTCAGCATGCCCGTTTGTGATTTATTGTTGTGATTAATACAGGGTGATCCAGGACTGTCTATAGAACACGATTTATATGGCAAATCAAAACTTCAAAAAGTGGGAGCTCCAGGTCCTCCTGGGGTACCTGGGCCACCGGGTCCACCTGGTATTAAAGGTGATACAGGTCGTCCAGGGAGAGATGGTCGAGATGGAAGTGCGGGCTTACCTGGAATTGTGGGATCTCCGGTAAAAATCTTTAATATTTCTCTGATATTGTGTACCACCCTTTATATATCTTATTGTTAATGGTTTTTGTGAAATTTTCAATTTGCATGGTGTTTTAAGTAATGTCTGATGTTATAAAAAATTTTTAGGGCGAGAAAGGTGAACGTGGCGACATGGGTCCTCCAGGGCCGCCTGTCGTTGTAACTGCTAGTACCAGCAGCAGAATTGGTCAAGTGATAGCTGGGCCGCCTGGTCCTCCAGGTCGCGATGGAAAAGATGGAGAAAAAGGAGAAAAGGTATATTATTATATATTGCATCTATTAATATAATGGTGAGAAAAGATTGCACGATGTATTTTTCGATAAATTAAGAAATTATTTTTTATTATTAATTATTTTTCTCGATAAATTAAGAAATTCTTTAAGTTTTCTTAAATTTGTCTTTTTGATTTTCTCGTAGACCATTTATTTTTAAATATGAAATAGAAAAATTTTTCACATTGTTTGGATGCATAGTTTAACAATATTACTAAACGCTTTCTTGTGATGTTTGTGATTGCGTTAAATAACATTATATTATAACTACTTTAATTTTTTTGGCTTATTTTATTAAAAATTAGCTTTTCATGATTAGTAGACAATGGAAAAAAGATATTTAAAAACATTTTTGAAAATAGTTTTTTAAAGTGGATAACCAATTAACAATAAATAACGATAATAATTTTCGTTGTTTGTCGTGTTGCAGGGCGAAGCGTGTGAAATTGCTCCTCCAGGTCCGCCCGGTCCGCCAGGTCCGCCTGGATTGAAAGGAGATCCTGGGCGGCGTGGAAGAAGGGTAAGAACTTTACGCATGATATAATAAATTTTAACGAAATTCTCATTCTTGGAAATCATCCTCGTTTTTCCTTGAAAAATTTTTTGAAATTCTAGGAGAAAAATTTTGCTTTTATTCAAATTTCCCATTCCACTGATAGGTAAAATCCTTAGTTAAACTGTCAAATGTACAGTTAATTTATCAAATTTGCATGTTGCGAAAATTATTAATATGTGATGTTGTGAAATCTTGTGATTATGCTAGCAAGTTTGTGGTGGTGTAAAGGTGAATTGTGGAACATTGTTATAGTAAAATTATATTGTCTCTTGGCAAAAGCATGTTTAATAATTTATTTTCCTCTACTTCAAGCAAAATCATTTTCAAAGAGTAAGTCAATTTGTTACAATTTTATAGAATATCCTCATCCATGGCCTCAAATTTTATAATTTTTGTATAAAAGAGCAGTATATTTAAAATTAATTACGAAATTTCAATTTTTAATGAGATTAAGAGAAAAATTAGATTCGTTTCATGGAACATTTTTGTTCACGTATGACAATAATGCTCTAAAATATTTTTTCCTCTCACTCGATCATCCTTATTTTAAAAGCTTTTAACAGCAGTCGAAATTTTATTTTCGTATTTTAAAAGAAAGCTGGTTAATCTGATGGAATGTAATTGAAAAAAAATTTTATTGCAATTATGACAGACCAACCAATATGGTCGCAAAATTTTTCTTTTACAACTCAGATAGCCAATCGTTGAAAAGTCTGTTCTCTTTGTTCCTATAACCTATAAATAAATCAGCTCAACTATAGCGTTTTTTTGCCAGAAAATTTTTTTGGGTCATAAATGTACGTCGCAAAAATATTTTAAGCATCTGGGAACCTGATGTGCATTTTTTCTCGAAGTCATACGAGCATTAAAGTAAATAAATAAAATTTTTTAGGGTAAGATTGGTGCAATTGACAACGAAACAATTATGAAACGCATTTTACCCATTATACAGAATGTTTTTTCGCAACCTGGGCCTATAGGTCCTCCGGTAAATTCCCAGTTTTATAGTTTCAAAAACATCTTTCAGAAATATATTTTCATTTCATTTAATTCTAATTCTGATATAATTTGTTTGCGATTTTTTTCTTAAAAAATTTTAAAAAATTTAAATTTTATAAAAAATTTCTATCAGATAAAATTTCTCAGATCAAATATAAAATTTCTATCAGATTTCCAATAGTTTTACTTTAAAAAGCGACTTTTAGGGACCAATGGGACCAAAAGGTGATCGCGGACCACAAGGATTACCAGGCCATAGTGGACTCAAGGGAGATCGTGGTGACATTGGTCCACCTGGCTTAATCGGCCCTCCTGGACCACCAGGTCAACCGGTTAGAATTTCAAACCACTTTATTAAAGTAAAAAGATAAGCTATGAATTTTGTTTTCCGCAGCTATATTCAATAGTTTTTCAGATTTTAATCGAGTTTTTTGAAAAATTTAAACTATTGTTCTTATTTGCAGAGTCAGAATTTTGGCTATGGATCACAAGCCCTTGGGCAACCTGGACCACGAGTTCGTTTTTTTCTTTTTTCTATCCCTACATTATTCTTAGAAAATAATGTTATTGTTCATCAGAGATTATTAGTCTGATTTTTTATTCTCAAAACATGTTTTTGAATTATTCTTGGTTAGAAATACTAAAAAAGAAATTAAAATTGCTAGCCTTTTTTTGATGTTTTAGGGGAGCCCAGGACTGCCAGGTCCACCAGGACTTAGAGGCGAAAAAGGCGAAAAGGGTGAAGTTGGGATGCCTGGACCACTTGGATTGCCCGTAAATTTTTAATATTTATCCATAAATCATCTAATTTCTGATTCCAGTTATCAAATATGAATTTCATATCGAAAGTTTGAACTGAAGTTCGCAAAATTTAAATCTATAAGTGAAATTTTTATTTAAGTGAAATTTTTATTAAGTGAAATTTTATAAAAATTTCTTATTTAAATGAAATAAATACATCAAATACCGAAAATAAAATGGAAAATTAAATTATTTATCTTTATCAATAATTTAAGAAATTCATCACAAATAATTTAAGGGTCCGCCAGGCCCAATGGGAATGCGTGGTCTTCCAGGAGTTGGAAAACAAGTTTGATTTTTAAGTTCCAAATTTGCACTCATATTTAATTCTATACTAATTTTTTTGTGATATTTCGGTTAGAACTATAAATTGTTCAATTATTTGCAGGTTTTTCAACGATCCTATGGCTTACAATAAATTTTGTATATCATATAAAATTTTACATTCATAGCTCAAGTATATGCATGTGCATGAGTGGTTTAGTCGTTTTGTGCTTATAAATTTTTGAAATTCATAAAATAATTTAAGAAATTATAGGGCAAAACGGGACCAAAAGGTGAACCGGGAGCAATGGTATGTCTTTAACCATTTTTATTTCTTGATAGATTGAATGATTTCGCAGCAGTTAACATTATTTTACGAATATTTGGAATTTGTCGTCAAATTATGCAAAAATTTCAGGGTCCATCAGGACCTCAAGGTGAGCGTGGTGATCGCGGTCCGCCGGGAGAGCGAGGAGAAACAGGCGAAAAAGGAGAACAGGTATATTTTAAATCAAATTAAATTACATCATATATTATTTATTTCAAAATCTCCATGTTTATTATTTCAGGGAATTCCTGGTCTGGATGCACCATGTCCTATAGGACCAGATGGGCTACCCATGCCATATTGCTCATGGAAACCTCTTGATGTAATATTTTCTTATATTTTTATATGAGAAGATTATCACTATATATATTATATATGTTATCAAAAGTTATAAACTTTCTAAAAACCTACGAGCTATCCAACAGTCTTTCAATTTTCTCTGGAAATTATCATTTGATAACATACATTATCATTGAAAATGATAACATTGATAATATCATTGAAAATCACTTTTCAATGATTTTAATTTATTTGTTCTCTATCGACCTGAGGCACTCCAATACCTTCTTTTTATTTCTAATTTTCAGCAAAATGTGAAAGCTGATTATGGGTAAGAAGCCGTCTCATATTTAGTTCTTTGTCTTCATTTCATTTTATATCACTGTGACAATTTTTTAAATAACCCTTTCCGAAATAACTATCGAACGCTATAGATTTTCTCTATTTATTCCAATAATTTTCCAATATTTCATTTCATTCTTTTTTTCTTTAAATCCAAATTAAATTGAAAAAAATGAAAATACTTGTGGCGATTATAGTTCGCTCTCTTGTGAATAATTAAAGCAATGTTATTCGAGCTGCAGTAATCTGAATTTGAGAAAAAAAACAGAGTTAAACAATTTTTCCAGTCAAATGAAAATGGATTAAGCGATCGAATAGTATTGCGAAAAAGGAGATCATATTTCGTTCAAGGAATGCAAAATCCTAACCATCGACGATAAAACTAATCACGATTTCTCTAACTTAGTATGTGTTCAACTTAGTGTTGGCTATTCATCCCCATATACTCAAACTTCGTCTTTTGCCTGCCATTTATATTTCAGTGGTTAAATTTTTCACTAAATTTATAGAATTTTATAGATTCTTAAAACCCTTAAAAAGTGGGTTTTTCCTTATTTTACTGCTTTTGCGAAATACTTTTAAATCCATTCATAACACAAACTCCTTTTTATCAGAGGCATGTAGAAAATGAAAAGCGAGAGTGTGATTTCGCTTGTAGTTTAATTTATTCTTAGAATAATAACTGCTGCATGCAGGTGAATATAGTTATTTATAATATATCAACTATACTGAACTGATAAAATCCATTCATTTCATTTTTAGCATTGATCCGAAGAAAGAATGGTCGAATGGTGGCATACAATATTCTGAAATCAGTGGAGATCAAACTGCTTGGCTCAATGGAAGTTTTACTGGCTTATGAACGTTTTCATTTTGTTCATCGAAAAAACCTTTTTAATAATTATTGTATCATAAATTTTTCAATTATATAGTTTGATTATCTCCAAGCATATTCAGCAGTACTTTAGTATTGATTGCATTTTTCTAGACTGAATTTTTTCTACCATTTCATTTTTGTTCTTTTCTTATTTATTTAAACTATTAAACTGTTATTGTGGTTTTCGCTCAATTACTCTGATAATTAACTTACTAATCCTAATGTACTGTTTCCCATTTACTTCATAATCAACATCATTATTTTATCAGTATCATTCATTTATGATGGATCTTTTGCAAAGTTTTTTTCTTTTTTTTATTTTATTTTTATTCGAAATATGTTGTTATTTTGCAATTTCTTAAATTCTTAATTACAAAGACAATTTTACAAAGAGTTTTAAATATTTAAATTGGAAAGAAACTTGCAGAACATAATTTATTAACATTTTTACAAATTAAATATGACAAAGAAGATTGACACAAAGAAAAATTATTCAAAAAGTGAAAAAATTTGAACTCAGATAAAAAATCTAAAGAAGTGAGAATAAACGAAACCTTAAAATGATCGCCAATTGTTTCCAACTATTGGCAATTGTAATGAGTAGTTTTTATCACCAAACATGTAAAGATGCCGAGAAATATTGGCGATAGACTTTAAGTTTGGATAAATTAATTTCGAAATAAATATGGGAAATAAATATGAGAAGATAAACCATTTAACCGGCAGAATAAGATTTTGAAAAACTCTAAAGTAACGAGCTGCTGCACCCAAATTAATGGAAATATATGTAACTGATTCTCTTGAATTACAAGTGATATTTCTAAATTATAGGTGTTATAAATATTTGTTTTTTCGAGGATTGTGGTGGAAATATCAGTAAAAATCAGAATAAGAAAACCAAGAATGCATTAATCAGTTTCCTCCAGAGGAACAAATGGAGTTTCGAGATTATCATTTTTGCTTTGATTATCAAAAATTCGTCGATTTTTTCGAATTCCTCTTGAAAATTTCTTCTTTCCTTTTGTAAATAATACTCGATCAAGTTCCTTCAATTAATTTTATAATTTTTTTCCCGATAATAAGTGATTTCAGCAATAGATATAGCAAGAAAAGAGGGATAGCGAGATATCAGGTTTTACCTCTTCCTCTTCATCATCTCCAATAACGCCACAGCTTTCAGCTGCGGGCAATTCATTTCCTTTTGATGGATTTTTTGATTCAACCAATTTCATATATTTATATTCCAATCTAAAAAAATTATAAAAAATGTGTTTGTCTCTCAGTGAATCGCGAAATATATGAAGATAATCGTAATAGTGATTACTTTTGATTTTTTCTACAAACGAAAATAACAATAACAAATAAGAAAACTGTTGCTGAGGCTGCGATAAAAATTAATATTTGCGCGTGAAATGTAAGGGATGTACAATTTTCTGAACGTTCTTTACTATCGACTCCTGACAAAACGCAATGCCTGAAAATTTTTCATGAAAATTTCAGAAAATTTTTACTGATAGAAAACTTTTCATTAAGTAAGTTAAATCGGTGATTTGAATTAGAAATGTAATAAATGATAGAAATTAATTTGTTATAATTCAAATTTTGTTATGCAAATTAACCTTGAAGGTATGCTGTGAACTGTTTGTTTCCCATTAATACATTCGCCTCTAATTACTGTATAATCACTTTCTGTACAAATTGGACAAGCTCGAGCTGTTAATATAATCATATGATACAAACATCCGTCGCAGGTTCCGTCTGGACAATTTCGTGGAAGATGTACCTTAAGGAAACATGCAACCCACACAACTAAGCATTCATAAGAAAATAGCGAAAGAGTACGAAGGAGCGATAAAAATAATTGAAATAGTTTCCAAATGAATAAATAAATCTCATAATTTGTCAAGCAAATGTGAAAAAAAGCCATTAAATTTAATACCTCCGATTCTTCGACTAAACGAGGCTCGCATTTTGTTGTAACTACAGTATGAATTCCATTCGGGCAATAGTCCACCGATGATGAGGATTCGTAGAAAAAGTTTAACTCAGGTAACTGAAGACTTTTATCAGATCCATCTTAAATAATACTTAATTATTCTAATAACGATGAATTTTGTTTAAGTTTTGTAACATTTTTGTATTTTATAATTTTTTTTCACTTTGTTTCTTCTTTCCTGAAAAATTTATAAGACCGCAATCGTTGAATAATTAATTAATTAGCTTCGCATGAATCGTGAATTAAAACGTCTCAAAAAAGCGTCCTACCGCTTTAATTTGATAAGAATAATGGCAAAAATAAATAAGTACCCTGAACCGTCGTATCATTGGTCTTAATTTTTTTGTATTCCCTTTCTGTTGTTATCGCCATTAATTTATTACCGAGGCTAAATGATAAATGTTCAAAAAATTAGCAAAATTTAAAAAAAAACCTTTCAATTTTTACGAATTTACGAAAATTATAAGCTTTCATGTTCATTTTTCAAGTTTTGTAACCTTAAAAAAGCTCTTCAAATGAATTTTGAAATGCTTGAAAAAGAGTCTCATAATTAAAAACATGAAAAAAAGGAAAAAGGAAGAATGCGAAAAGACATACCTGAGAGGCGATATATAAGCGAGCTTCTGTGAAGAGATATTTGAATTAATTGGGAGAACAGTGATGCGGCAAATGTGAGCCTCCACAATTTCCTTTTCCTGAAATGGCTATCTTTTTTAAAATACATCGTTAAAATTAAAAATATTTCATGTTATGGAAACCAAATGAGTCTTTTAAGCAATTTTGCACAAAAACTTTGACAAATTATGTGGAAATTTAAAAATTATATGAAATAGTAAAAACAATTTGTTACTGCCAGATTATTTGTTTCGTCTTAAGCAAACAGTGAAAATAAGGATTCAACTAGTACAAACTTTCTCTTCGAGATAGGCACAAGCTTACCTGACGGTCGGTGGAAATTGAGTAACCGGTTGAGGATCGATGGACAGTAATTTTTTTAAGATCGGATCAGACTATTTTGCTTTTTTTTCTCGCTCAGAATTTAGGCAAAATATATAGAAACTTAAGACTATTAACTAATAAGAACAATAGAATAAGTAAAATAGAATTTTGAAGTGATTTATTTTTAATTATTTATTTATAATTATTATTGCTATAATTATTATTATAATTATAATCATTTTTAATTATAATTATTATAACTGATTTAACTTTTTCAATGCTCGCTTTTAAGAATCGAAAACCATTAAAAAAAAAGAGAAACGTTTTGATGGAACGTTTTGATGGCTTAAGGACCTTTTTTTCGATAATTCATATGACATCTTAAAAATATATAAAAATTCTTAGGGCGACGATTGACTTTTTTGTAAATGCAAAACAAAAATTTTGTATCCTTCTCCGCCTTAAAAGATAAAAGTCTATTTCTATATAAATATAAATAAATATTATCTGCCTGTTAATTTGGTAAGTTAAATTTATTTTAATTTATTTAAATTTAAGTTAAATTTTACTATTTGATTTTTGAAAAAAATTTTTCAATTTACTTGTGGTGAATTTCCATCCAGTTCATTGGCAGAAATTTCCTCATTACATATTGCACCCTCCTCATTAAATAGTGATATGTTAAATAAATGATAATATGAAGAGCCCTCTCTGGCGAATACCTTCACACCCGTTGCTTGAAATGTCCTATAAAAATTCATTTGCTCAAAAATTTTAAATATCGACCTTAATATCACATCACATCTCACATCACAGAAAATCATATCTTTAAACAAAATATTTTTTGAAAACAGTTCAATCGGCAAGTTCATAAATGAATGAACAGAAAAGAGAGAAAATACAATGTATATATATAAATATATATATTATAGTTTTATATTATTATATTATATTATTATATTATATTATTATATTATTATATTATATTAATTATTATATTACATTGTTACATTTTATAGTATTATATTTTATATATATTTTATATATGTATATAAAATAATAAAAAATAAAGTAATATATATTAAATATGGAAAATTAATAAAAAATTCTTAAATTTCAATAAATATTAATAATCATAGAAAGCAAATGCACTTCAATTTCGCGCTGAAGAGAAAATAAAAATATTAACATACTTTCCAATAAAATTTGTGAAATCGAAGTGACTTGTGACATTTGAAGAATTACGTGGTATTTCAAGTAAACCACTTGATGAACAGCGAATACCGTCATTGGATTCAAGATTTGAACCACAAGGTATGCATGATTTGATACCAATATGATCACTCGATACATTAAGAATAGTATTCTTCGGACATTTTCGACAAGCTCGTTCCTAAGTTTTGCCAGCAGTAATAATTTAATTTTTTTGAAAAGAATTGTAATTAATTGTAAATAAGAATTGTAAATTGTATATTTATAAAATTAATTGCAAAAAGTAATCCACCGATTTTTTTCTAAGTGCTTTCACCATTTCTGATTAGTCTTACTCCGCTGCCTTGTTTGAACAGGCAAATTTTGTCAGAGAATCAATCACTTGGTGATAAAAGCATTGATTTCTTAGAAGAGGTTTACTGTCGGAAGTATCAGCTCGGAAAACAATCCTTTAAGCCTTCCATCCCCTTGTTTATTTTCAAATAAATTACTTACAGTTTCAGATATATATTGGCCTGATGGACAAGTCACACATTTCCCATTCGATAATGGGCACGGAAGGCATGCAGAAGCACCCCCACTTCCTCTAGCAACATTCGTCACATTTATACTGTAAATGATTGCACGATCTGTTATAGCATCATTTTCTGATGAGCTCCACGACCTTAAGAATGAGAAATTTATTAAATATATTTTATTTTGTTATTCTTAACTGATTATTGACAAAAGAAGTGGAAATAATAGGTTGTTTCTCAGCCCTTACTTTTTGATTGATTCTTCTCTACTTGTTTTTAATTATTTGCCGATTTAATGCAGCTTTTAACATTTCGCTATTCTTTCAAGAATCTATCAAATTGTGCCTTATAAGTCAATATTTATATTTATATCAATATGATTACCGCATAAATGCAAAAAGAAATCTGGTAGGTCTCGTAGAAATAATTGGATACGAATACGAGCGACGGGCTTGAGTTCCATTAAAACCCGCAATTAAATGAAATGATGCTTGTTTCGGCGAATCCTAAAATATTCATTATAATAAATAGTAACAAAAAAATGAAATGTCAACATAGAATGCAATTTAATTTTGACATATTTTAATTAAATTTTTTCGCAAAAATTTATGGAACTGAAAATTTATGAAATTTATGAAAAGTAAAAATTTATGGAAATGAATAAATTTCGATTTAACATTTCTAAAAATAAAAATGTAAAAAAATTATGAAAATGAAACCTCAACAAAGTAAAAAATACAGCTAATATCGATACAACTGGTTTCAAATTCAAATGTGATATGTGCGATGGGATCTTGAAGTGATATTTTTGCGTCATTCGATAGTAGCGGATTGGAGAATCCTTCAGAAATATTCAAAAACAACTCCAGTACAATGCCTTTTTCGTGAGTTGATGAGCTATATAATGAATTCCCTGCTGGAATCCAAGAATTACCGATATTGCAAAATTTTGGTCTATCTGAAAAAGAACTTTGGTACTTCTATCTCCTTAAATTTGAAGCAACAAATCATGATGGTGAACGGAACAAAGTCCACTAATATTACATTTTTTCCTTTAAGAGCGAGTATTCGCCACCTTTGATGATTCCGTTTGAGCCAAAGAGAATTTGTTAATATAAAATACAGTCAATACCTAATGATATGCTTGATAATACGTTAAATATTGCAAATGAAGCAATTTGATAACAAAAAGTGTTGAACCTTCCATGATATATTCACATTTCGTTGTCATATTGGGTGGTAAATCATGCCACAGAATATATTGCAAGCCATAGTTTGGAAGTGTTTGCAGTGGGCATCGTTCACACTCTTTAAATAATAGAAGCAATTTTTTTTAAATTAAATAACAATTTTTCAAAATTATTGAATTCAGTGTCAAAATCTCGTTAAAAAACAAATTTCACTTTTTCAACAGCGATTTTTGATTGGATGAATAGAAGGGCTGAAATAAAATGGCATCATACCCAAGTTGTTTAGCAAATTTTATTTTTATTTGATTTTGGAAAATTATGGCACATAAGGGAAGAGTTTATAATTTGGACTGATCAGCACTTCTTATGCATAATATTTTAATCTACTTACTTAAAAACTTGCTAATTTTTTTTGTTACGACAAATAAATTTCATACCGTTGCCTTCAGAAAAATGATCCACCGGACAAAAAGAACACTTTTTGTTATTATTCATAGCCATTCCAGGATTACATTTTGGACAAGGACGTGATTGACCTGGAGGTGGTAGCTGCAATAATTTAACTTCAATCTTTTAACTTCTTGTTATATTTTTCAAAAAATTGAATTACTTTATATGATCCTTCCACATCATCGCGACAAACATTTGGCTGTACTTTTTCATAGACAATTCTCGTCAGACCGAGGTCGTTGCAAGGTTCCATCTTCGGAAAATAGTCTGTTTCAGCGCACACAGGGCGATCGATGCACATGGATGCTCTTGGACCTATTTAAGTCGATAAACATATAAAACTTTCATATAATCACAACTCATTTTTATATGGAAAATTTCTTTTCATTAATACATATTTTGGATAAAAGATTGGTTCAACTATATCGAAATCTTTCAGAATTTATTGAAACGAATATCAGAAAAACGAATATTTGTTTATTATTTATAAATTTTATCTTATCTTAAATAAATTAATCAAATCCTTATTAGCTATTAACAAACTTATTCATATATATTACCAGAGTATTGCGTCAGTGGACACCTAGCACATTCTCGGGATCCCTTGGTGCTGAAATAACCTGCTGGACACGATTTGCATTGTCGCGCGCCTCGATCGCTATATGTACCAGCCGGGCAGAGTGTGCATTGCTGAGTGAACGCCAATCCTTTAAAAAAAACATGAAAAAAATAAAATACGGTAGAAATTCAGGTGATTCAGCAGGATTTCGCTCCAAATCAAAATTGAATATAACGATTTAACCTATAATGGTTGAACTTAATTGGTTAAAATATAAAAATTTATATAAAAAAGAAAGTTTTTTCTAAGAATACTTAAAGCAAGAAAATTTCCTTATTAAAATTTAATGGATGAGATTTGTTTTTTTCTCAAAATTTTATCTGAAAATTAGAATCTATTTTAGTATCCTTCTTTGCATCTAAATTTAAAATATATATATACATTTTTTTAAGAATCCTCAAGAACGAGTTTAACCATTACTGGTTAAGTTCGCTCCACTGGCTTCTTGTATTGGGCAACATGCCATGGAAATTGGCGATAAAAACACAGCTGACTCACCAGCAACACCCGGGTACAGACTTACTCCTGCGGGGGATTGAACCTCAGCATCGGAGCTCCCATTTGAGCAATAACCTACTGAACCATCTTATCTCCTACATATATATATATATATATAGATAGTAATTCGAAGTAAAATCAAACCGAGAATATCAATTTTTGAAATAGCAATGACATCATTTTTCGAAAAAATGTCTCGATTATTAAATACCATCCAAGTTATCACATTGGTACCACTTTTTAATTTGATTCGTCGACGTTGCCATTCACCTTCATAGTCTCGTTCGTCTCCGTTATTATTTTTAGCATCAGATATATATAACCTCATATCATCACTTAAAAAGCAATGATAAGAAATTTCAAACAATTTAGAACCAAAGAAATATATCTCTATACTTTCCTTCAAAGGTTTCCTTCTACATTATCTCAGAAAAAGAGAAAAGCGAATTTAAAAGTTGGCATAAAAATCTGGAAAAATTTCGAGAGGTTAAGCACATATTGGTTTGAAAACAACATACGTGTAACTTTGGCATTGCTTATTTCTTACAATCACTTTCAAAGAAAGCCCTCGACTATCTTTCGGTAGTTTATATGAATACTGAACAAAACCCGGTCGAACTAAATCCACACTGTAAGTCAGTTTGGCAATACATGGAGAGGGAACATAGAGTAGTTCTGTATTTTTTGTGATCCAACCCGTTCTGAAAAAGTAACTTCAAAGTAATATGCAACGGATGCATGAATGCATATTATCACATATTTTCAAATGTGCAATATTTTTTAATAATCTTTCGTCATTCTGAAATTTTATTTTTATTTTATTTTAGAATTTCCTGAAAATATATGAATAGAAAACGAATAAATAATTAAAGTTTCATGTATAAATTCATTTTGATGCGACCCATCAAAATTTATTATCATTTTTTTTTTCAATGCAATTTCTATTAGTTTTGTTTTCAAAGTTTTATAAAGATTTATTGATAAATGGTTTTATAAAAGATTCATTTAAAACACCAACTCATTTGAACATCCCGAATTTTTCAAAGTGGTGCCAGAGAAAATATCAATGTTAGTATCAAAATTTTCGATGACGAAACCAGGTGGTAAACGCGAAAATTCTTCGAATCTTATTCCACCACCTAGACTATAACTTCCTGAAAATATTCTCTTTAGCTATTTTAAATGATAGTAGACTCATCTTAAAATAACATTCGTACTGGTAATGAATTCTGAAAAAAAATTCATAAAGTTATAAGCAACCTGGTGAACAATGGCGACATTTTTGCGAATCAACATCGAGGAACATGCCCGGTTGGCATGAAAACGCTGAAAATGAATTGTATTACATTTATCTAATCAACTATAATTAATTCCGAAGTAACCAATATGGATTTGTTTTTAGGATTATTTTTCACGAATTGTTGCAATAAAAAATTATTTGAAATCAATATTTTGTATAATTTAATTCATATATTGTCAATTTTATTATCCGTAGGTTGCAATTGCTAACTTAATAACTATGGAACGCAAACTTAGGAAGGACTTCTGAATCTGTTGTCATTAAAAACACTTACAACAATTGATTCCTCTCGTAGGAAACGGTGCACCTCCTTCACATTGTAAATGATCGTTCTTGGGGACAGCAACCCGCCATCTTTGACCATTTTCATCGCACGTCGTATATTCAAAGATAAAATCATCGGAAGAACAATGACGCGTTAAACTTTTTGATATAAAAAAACAATAGCTGATAAAAAACAATCGCAAAATTGGTCTGAAATAACTAAATGATTTTATCGCAAACAAGCAGCATTGTTGTAATTTTAGTGTTAAATGAAATTATTCCATTAGAAATTTAGATTTACTTCATAAGATTTCTACGAAAAGTATTCATTCGATTATAATGGATTTAATTAATTTTATCTCGAAGAATAGCAAATAAATAAATTTTATCCCTAAATAAAATAATCATATAATAAAATAATTCTCTTTAATAAATTTTAAAATTTATTTTAACAATAAAAAATTCTCAGCCAACCGATTGAATAAAATAGAACAACAATTCCCATTCATCTTCTTTCCCACATAGAATCACTCACTACAAAAGATTTCTCGAATTGCTTCCTCAGTATTACATTTATACTTTATTTTTATTCTCAGAAATATCCGATTGTTTTAGATTAATTTATAGGTTTATTTCTGCAAAATATCGAAAAATAAAATAATTGAACGTAGAGTTATCCATTCGCTATAAGGAAAAAGTCTCAGAAGAGTAAAAATTATAAAAAGTTCTTATAATTTTAATTTTTCTATTAAAAATTATTTTTATTATTATTTTTATTTTTTCTGAATCTTTGAACTATTTTATAAGAAATGAATAGAAAACGATTATGATTCGCAAAAATTGCAGCGATAACGTCAATAAATTGATGGAAAACAATATAATAGTTCAGAAATAATTTACGGAAAATACTGATTAAAAGAATAAAAGGTAAAATAGGAGATATATAAGGCTTTAAAGGATTGATGAATTCCAAGCATCTGCCTATTGCTAATGCTAGTTGCTTGCCAATAAATACATATAGATATATATTCTCTTTATTCTCCAACAAATACGCTTTCTCTTCATAAATTCCCTTCTTTTTCACAATCTATTAGCAAAAATTGTTTCTTTGACGCCTCAGGCAAATAATTTCTATTCCAATATTGAGTCTTTTCCCTATTTCTCTCTTCTATTATAGCGATATTTGAAAAGTAAATTTTGGATTTATAAAAAATAGACCGTGTGAAAAATAAAATAATGATCTAAGAGTTGCTTGGTCTGAAGAATTTCATGAAACTTTATCCCCTTATTTACATTCTCCACCATTCAATTATGCAATTTCAAACAGATAATTTTTTGAAGCGTCTTGTAAATATCTTTTAATATATAACGGATAACATTTTATAACAAAATTGAAATTGTTGTCATTGGATTCATTTAAAGCAAATTCCTTATCACTTACGAAGCTGATATCCCTTTTAATCAGCGATGATGGTTTTAAAGAAATGACCAAAATCCATAAAAATTTATTCTGTTATAACGCTTATATATTGAATATATATTGAAAAGAGTGAAAGAAATCAAAATAATAAAAAAATAAAATAGAGATTTTAATAGAGAAAAATAGAGATTTATCGCTTTAACATCCCTTCTCGAACTGTAAAACGATTACAGCGACTCTGAAAAATTTTCGAAGGAAAAGTTTGAAATTAACCTAAAAAAATTTTCAATAACAATCATTATTAATTCCATGTCATGATTAATTCAAAAATTCCATTTTTTCATATGCTTAAATTATTCCAAATATCAAATGAGAATAAAATTAAGCAATTTTTTTTTCAAGGATTCGTTTTTGCTAACATTTTTTGAAAATAAAAATTTCGAGCAATGAATATTGAAAAATTTTTGAATAAACTTACTAGAATTAGGAGTTAATACGAAGCAAAGGTCCACTTCGAATACTTTTGACAATTTCCGCATCAGTTCGAGGACCATTCGGCTTCAGCTTAATTTCATTTCCGGATTTAAGAGAGGCAGAAGAAATTTCTTGTGGAGTATTTTGAGGTGCATGACTATAGACGCGAATCGGTGCACATTTCTTCTTTTTTTATTAAATTTCATTCATTTAGTGAGTAGAAAAATCTTTTATTCAATTTGAAGTTTTTTTTATTCACCAAAAAGAAGAATGTGACTGAAGTTATTTCTCGTAGCATGTGAACCGAATTATGGTTCAATGAGCTTATATGTGGGTGAACTGAATTATATAAATAAATGGCGCTTAATGGAACTTATCAGCGATTAGACTAAAGGTTAGCATGAATATTAGGTTTTCATGCGACTTGACTTACAACATTTGCAAATATTTTGGTAAAAAGAAAGTTGAAAATTTAAAAATCTCCTAAGTATCGAAATAATTCATAAAACAAAAAAACATACTATGTGAAGGAAATTGAATAAAAGTATTATTAAAGCGAAACGAAACTTCATCATCTGAAAACGGTGAAATTTAAACCAAAAATAATTTATAAATGAAAACTTTAAATTTCAATCGGATAAAACTTGAATAAATTTAATTATTCTAAAGCATAAAAGCACATCGCTTGGCTTGGCTCGGCCTTCTTCTAAATTAATAAATTTTTTTAAATAAATATTAAAATTTTAAATTTCTTTTATTTAAACTAAACTTTTACGTTTTATGTTATGTTTTTCTGTTTTCTCTTTTACGTTTATGTTTTTATGTTTAACTTGTTGAAAAAATTCGAGGATTTTGATATTCGTTACAGTAACTAAAACGAATAAAAGGCTCTCTAAGCATCGAACTAATTTTAAAGCGATTATATTATTATCGAACTGAGCTATTAATATATAATGAATAATCGAAAAAGAACTACGAAACATACCAAATAAGAACCAAAAATGGTAATTTTACTAGTATCTAAGGGGTTTTGTTGCCACCTTGGTGGCAAAAAATGGCCGAAATTCTTTAAATGCTACATTAGCGATGAAAAAAGTTAAAAAACTTTGGAATTTTGAGTCATCTAACAGCACTTTTTTAAGAATTCGTAAATGGAAAATAGTCAAAATCATAGATATTTGGAATGTTTCCAACGACAGAAATTTTTAAAACACGTTAGTATTCAATAGATTCTCTCCCATATAAAGAGAATTCCATCAATCAATCGCCCGAATTTTCCTATCAATCAGTTCAATTTTTGAACATTATAAATCTTAGAAAGAACATTTGATCGTTGCTCATAATAATTAATTCACCAGCGATCACCATTATGCAACCTTTTAAAAGTTTTATCAATTAATTCCAAAGATGATGTTTCTTAACAAACAATAGTGCTCGAACTGGTCCCATGTGTGCCCCCGTAATCCCGGGGGTCCATGGAATATGTGAAACCCGAAAGATTTATCTAAGGTACCACAAGACAATCTGAATGGCATACAGTTAAGAAGTAGCAAAATAAAGTATAGTGGTGGTAGTCCGTCCATTTTAATAGCATTTAGGGTTCCATCGAAAATAATTAGGCGACCAAAGATCATTGCTAACCTTAAAACTCTGTTAAATTTGTCTTTTTTCAAGCCATTTTCTTTAAGGTTTTATTTAAATTAAGGTACTACTTTTGATTTCAATTTCAATTTTATAAATTTCTCTTTGTATTCATTTAAGTGTTCAATTCAATTCGGGTAAAATTTTCCAATCTAATCATTTTATTTTTTAATGATTACTTTAAATAAATAATTACATTTTTAATGTAATTACGTGTTTAACAGACGGCAACAATTGTGCGAGTGACAGTTCTACGCGATCATTTGTCAGACGAGTCGAGTTCTTGTGAAAAGACTGACTGATATATTTCGTCGCATTTGGCATATTAAATCCTTGATTTTTGGCAAAACATACAACTTTGCAGACGATCAACTGTCCACTGATAATATTATACATGCACAAATTTCTAGTTGTAATAGCTTTATAAAAACTGCGTTGGTGCATAGCTGAGCCTTTCTGTATGGTCGACTTCTCACCACCAGAAACTCATCGCGGAGCAGAAGTGTAGAAACCTCAGCTCCAGCTGAAGTCCACTCTCAATGAATGATTTCTCCCACATCTTCCACAGGAAGATAATCTAAGACATTCAACGAAACAAGGCAATCTGCTACTCGGCCGTTTCAGAAGCCGCTGTTTCATCTAAATTTCTATTTATCGTGCATGTGTTTGAGTAGAAATTTCTGCTTGCAAGTGAGTTATTAATTTATTAAGCAAAAGGTGGAGGGGTGGGGGAGGGGGCGTGGGGGTTATTGAATTATTAAGCACAAATTTGGTATTTATTATCGATTTTATACTTATTATTATGAATTTAGTTCTTATTTGTATTTACATATTATATTCAATATTAAATAATCATTTCTTGAAATTGTCGCAAACATTTCAAAATTTTAAATATTCGATTAAAAATTCGAAATTTCATGGAATTTAGACGAATGTATATTTTGCCGAATTCCGCGAAACAATTCAATGATCCATGTTTTTGGAGAAAATTTTTTGAAAAACAAAAACAACCATTCGAATGGTTAGTTTTTTTTTCTAATGAATAAATAATTTACAAAAAAAAATTTAAAAAATTGCATTAAATTTTAAGTTTTTTCTCGTTGGATTTTGCTTTTTGCAACTATTTTATTGCTTTTTCCCATTTCTTTTCCTTTTCCCTTTTTCCTTTCGCTATAAATTTTAATTTAAATGTTCAAATATTTAGAATATTTGAATGGTATTTGAGTGAACTATAGGCGAGTTTTTTATAAGGCTGATGGCAGATTTCCCACTTTTTCCCATTTTTGGTACGAACTTACGAAAAAATTTTTTTTGCTGCGCTTAAATTCCTTAGATTCGACCATCACATACTTAAAAAAAAATTTCGATATTCCGCGGCGGCTTAAATTCATCAACTATTAGAGGAATTAGAGGAAGATTTGGCTAATCGATATTGCGTGGTTCCTTCAGTTTGAATTGTACTAAATTTTTTAACCATTTAAATATGAAAAATACGGGCCGTGCAGAAACTTACTTATAAGTTGTAATTTTATAATTTTCCATAATTTCCTCATTTCTGTCATTAACTGTTTGAATAAATTACGTGTTGAGTTGATTTCTGCGCCAACAACATTTAATTTTAACATCCGATTTTAAAATACACCTGGCACAAATATATTCACTTCGATTCCTCTAATAATTTAGTTTTTTTCATTTTTATCGAGCGGAATGACTATTGTCCTCCGTGGTCTTCTAAAAAACAATGAAATGGAAGCAATGAAATGAAATAAATACGATTGGTGATAAATTACTGAATAATTTTAACAAAAAAAATAATTATAGGTATGCTACTTTCTCAGAACTGCATTTGGTACTGAGCCGATATTTAAAGGCGAATGATCAAATATTACAAATTGGTTGTGGCAGTTCAGAATTGGCAAATCGAGTATAAATTTTTTTTCTTGCTAATAACTGCAAAAAAAATGATTCTATGGCTTGAAATTAAATAATAGTGGTGGAGAAACTTTTTTGTAAGAATAAAGTCATCATTATTGGAATAAATTGCCTATCGATTTCTGCCGAACATTATTATTCCATTATCCATTATTTTCTAGACCCATTCTTATTTAGTTAGAATTTTTTTAGTTTCCTTGCTTTCCATCAATATTACGTCTTATTTATTATTATTAATTCAAGCTTATGGTTATAGCTTTGTTTGATTTTCTTTTAAATAAATAAATAAAAGTTCAATATTTAATATTTCTTTTTTTGAATTGCGTTTTTGGGATTTTTTTCGAGAGATGTTTTGGTTTTCTACACTTCAGCTTTTTTCAGCTTTATGATGTTGGTTACCGGCATATAACGAGTATCGATACAGATGAAAAAATTATAGAAAAACAACTGAACGATAACAATGGGATTAGACCGGAACTGAAATTTTTATGTTGTTCAGCTATGAAGGTTTTTTTATTTATTATTTAAATCTTTCTCAAAATTTTTAATTTTTTATATTTTTTTATTTTATTTTATATTTAATTTTTTATTTATATTTTTTAAGGTTGATATTGAAACTGAATGTATTAATGTTGTTCTGGATAAGGGTACCCTGGACGCATTATTACCTCCTGATTGCAGTGAAATCGACATTGCCGAAGTAGAAAGAATGTTTACTGAAATTGATCGGATTTTGATTGTAGGTGGAAGATATCTAGTAGTTACGCTTGCCCAGTCACATTTATTGAAAATTTTATTAAAAAGTTTCGTCGCAAGGTGTATTTTTTTACATTTTCTACATTGTTGAGTTTTTCGATATCTTCTAAAATTTCTATATCTTTTCAAAATGAAATTTAAATTTTTCTCATAAATTTTCCGAGAAAGTGCTATATGGGCCATTTTATTTTCAGATCAAATTATCTTTTTCGCATTCAGAAAGTTGATGGTATGAACAAAAAATCGAAGTTACCCGTATTTATTATTATTATTACAAAACTTCGATCCCCATTGTCATCAAATGTAATCTGTTATATATTTTGCAACTGTTACATATTTTATAGAAAAATTTTTGTAATTTTTTTCTTTCCATCAAATTTCTTTTCTGATTAGAAATTAACTTTAAAATGAGTTTTTAAATGAGATTAATTTTTTTTTTAATCAGATCTTTGAATATATAAAAGCAGATAGTGGAAAAGCTTGTCGTTTGTCCTCTTTGGAAGCCTTGCAATCAGTTATCAATAGTGAACAAGAACTTGCATTTTTCGAATATCTTTGCTCAAAGTTAATTGTTTTAAATACTTTTTAAATTTAGAAGTTCTTTTCTTTTCATTCTTTTTCTTTTCATTTAAATTACTACAATCAATTTAATCAGTCTTCTCAGAATCAAAAATTAAAACCAAAATCTTTTCTCTGAAACAACCACATTTGATTAGTTATCATTTCTTAAAATCATTTTGTTTTACGATATCAGTAGCAATAACTTTCCTTAAATTTCTATCCATATTTTTATTTTTATTCAGGAAGCTCAGTGAAGAGGTAGCCATATTGATTTATAACGATGCAGGCGAAGTTCGGTACCAAATCAGCATTGTTGATAACCAAAAAATTCATTTTCCTTTGACTTATGCCGTTTTTATTGTTCCTATTGGAAGGTCAAACATTGATTTTTTTGTTTTGTTGACAAATTTCTTGTACATAGTGTAGAATATTCATTTCCTTTAAAAGTATGCTCATTTATTATAGAGAGCACGAATGGTTATTTGGGACCGAAAAAGGGCGAATGGATTTACGTGAAAAATGTCTTACTGATCGTCTCGCGGTCATTTTTCTTTCACGTGAACAACAATATGAAGATCTTGAATTTATCAAAAAAGAACTTGATTCTTTTATATTGAAATTTGCGCCGCCTAAACTTCGTCATGGTGTTTGTTCTTTATTATTAGAAATTGTTTTTTCATTTTCGAAGAATTCTGACTTTATGTTAATATGCTACAAATAAATCGGTGGGTTATTTTATAGTAAAAATTTATCAAATGATTAAAAGTAATTTTTAGCATTCGAGAATTAATTATTTGAGTATCGGTGAGTATGATGTCAAAAAAACAGTAGCAAAAGGGAATTCCTCGATTAATGGCACGTGGACTGTCGAAGACGTAGAAATTAATGGGTCTTTATTCCGACAGCTAATATTTCTTTCTTCTCGTCATCTTGTGCAATCACAAGCGAGGCTTATAAGTTTGTTATTCTTATATTATGAAGGGAGATGATTGAGATTTTCATATTAAATATCTTTAATTCTGTTTTTTCATCCTAGTAGTACTTATTTCATTAAATAGTGGTGGATTTTTAAAATTTTCAGTAGATATCCAAATTTTTTTTCGTAAAAATTTATTGTATTTTTCAAAAGTGAAAATAATTTGAATATAATTTGAATATAATAAAGTGAATATAATTTTATATAATTTTGATATAATTGATGAATATAATTTTGAATTTTGGTTTTAGAAAGAAAAAAAAGTACGATTGTTGACTTGGATAAATTGATGTGCGAACACCATAATGCTATGCTAATTGCATTTTTATTTTTATCTCGTCAGGTTTTGTGCAGCCCTCAAGAAGCAACTTTAAGGTTTGAACCAATTTTTTCTCATTATTACCCATTGTGTTTGCTTTATTGAGATCAAAAATAAGGGATCGATTTATGTCCCAGAAAAACTATCATTATGAGTAAAATCTTGGCAATGTTGATGATTTATGTACCTTGAGTGTAGATGTTTCTGGCAAAAGAGCTTTATAGATCGATCAGCTGAATTAGAAATGATATTGGAGAAAGAAGATAGCTACTCGTTGCCGCATTTTAAAAAGCTTTTAAATAGTCATTTGATCAATTTAAAACTTCAGAATTAGAAGTTCTAGTAGTTTTATTATAAATTTAGGCAAATTGTTCTTGGATTGGGTGGTGGATTATTACCATCGTTTCTTCTCAGGCAATTCTTAAAGGTATTTTTTCAAGGTAGTTATGAAAATAACTAAGTAGCTTAGAGTCATTAGAGTAAATGTTTATTCAATGATTTCTTTAATCCTTTTCATTCTTTTTTAATTTGGTCACTTATTTAATTTTATTTTAGATATTAAAAATAATTAACTGGATTAAGATTTAAAATTTTTACTGGTTGTAAAGAATTAAAAAATATATCTGTGCAGTAGGCGTTTAACAACAATTTCATCAAGAAGATGGCTCGGAAAATGGGGATTTTTTTTTGTTTTCATCTTTCATCGATCTAGCTCAAGATTTTAAAATTTTGTTATGCATATTTATTTACTTAAGAATGAAATAAGGATAAGACTTCGATCTAAAAACTCTTTTAATAGTCTTCAATCAGCGTTGTCGAAATCGATCCGAGTGTTAAAGATATAGCTGAACAATACTTTTCACTACCTGTCGATAATCCCAATCTTTCTATTATTATTGACGATGCTTTAAATTTCATCTTTCAAGCTCAGAGTATCGTTATAAATTTTTATTTTGTTATTTTAAATTTTTGTTTTTGTTATTCTTTATTTAATTTTTTACAATTTCATTCAATTAAATAAATATGAAATATTCGGAATATAATTATTTCTGTGGTTCTACCAATGGTGTTTTTTTATTTTTACATCTGGTGACAATATTTAGTTTTTATAATTGCTTTTACGCTTTAGATAAACTTTTGTACGATGTGCTTTTTGTTGATATTGCTGGAAGTATGAACGTTGAAGGATTAAACTGCCCTCCTCCATCATTTATCACTGCTGAAGTGTTAACCTCTATGCATAATCTCTTAAAACCAAATGGTTGGTCTTTTATTTTTCTTTCTCATCTGCAGTTTTCTCTTTTTTTTTTCTTTATTACTTCACTACCTAATTTTTCAAAATTTGATGTACTTCTATGATGGTTGTTTTTTTCATTGATTTTTGTAAATAAAATTTTGGAAATTTATATCGTAAAAAAATATTATTTTTTTACTTCCTGTCTATTTGTCATGGTAAAACAATAATCTAATTGAATACCACATTTCTCCATAGGTGTGATGGCTTTTAATTTTGTAACTCGAGATGATGCTTATGGCAACGAAATTATCGAAAAAATCAAGTCTGTATTCGGAAACGTTTATATATATTCGAGCAATGAAGATATCAACAAAGTAATACTTATATCTCGGATAATTTCATAGTTTAGTTCGTTACTGGTATATACTTTTAATTAAACTGCAATAGATATAAGTCGTTTATTCTTTGATTTATTTAATAAAAATTTTTATTTTTTGAAGGTTCTAATTTGCCCTAAAGAAAATATTGATATTGCGAGTGCTAACAAAATCTCAAAGTCTTTACGCAGAGAAAATGATTGGCGTAGTAATCTTGCTGAAGAGATGTGTCATCTGTCTATTTATTAATCAAGTACTTTTTTATTATTCTCTAGATCACTTTATTTTTTGCCTTTAAATTAGCTCAATTATATGAAATGTACGAAATTTCATTATTAAAGTTCTAAAACTAAGCTAAGTTTCTAAGCCATAAAAACATTTATTCATACGATGTTTTCATTAAATAATTGCTAAATAATTGTTCCATTATAATTGCTAAATTCTAATTTTCCATTATTCTCCTTAAAAATAATTCCAGTGATTTAAAGAAATTTAAGGTAAAGTGAGAATAAGTAAATTTTTATGGCTGAAAGTTTTAAAGTTGTTTAGAAACGAAACCCTTTTACAAGGTTTTATGAAATTAGTTGAAACAAATTATTCTCTTATAGATTTTGATATATGAGCAAGGCAAGGCAATCAAATAGCTAACAGATATTAAATTATAGCGTGTTTCCATGTCTCCTTTTCTTTCCTTTAATTGTTTTATCTTAAAATTTTATATTTTTCTGAAAAAAAAACGAAGCATTAAATAATAAATAGAAATATTTGTGAAAAACGATAACTTATTGGAAAAAATTTAAAGTTTTCGTTGCAAATGGGTTTATAGGCTTCGTTATTTACGTGAAAATTACGAGATTATATGAAAGATGTATCAAGTTATTTATTGTACAATGTTGGAACCTATATCATATAAAAAAATTCCTTTCTTCCTGCAGATGGTTTGGATCTTCCTCAATATCAAGCCTACCAGAAGTCTAGGGAGAAGAAAGGCGCAATATTCTAAACGTTCCTAGAGCCCTTCTTGAAATCCATTGGAGCCATAGCTTGAATGCTCCTACCACCAATAACCTTAGCTTTCCACCTTTTCTTTTAGGCCTTTGTATTTTTCTAACTGTGTAGGCAAATGTAGGTATATTAATTAATCTTTTATATCACATTTTTGAGTACAACTTCGAAATAACGCGTGCTTTATGAATTTTGGTTTGATATTTCGGATATCTGCTCTTTGCTCAAAGTTTTTCACTTTTTTGGGTAATTTATATTTGTGGTCGGTCAATCATTTAAATGAAATAAATCAGTCTTTTGTTGTCTTGAATTATTTCTTTTTTTTTAACTCTAATTCAATTGAATTATATAATATATTCTTATTTTTTTAGAAGTATGAGAATGGTTTCATATATAAAGGAATTATACAAGATCATTATAGCAAATAGCAGAGAAAAAGAATTACATTTAAGAAATCCAAGATAGATTTTACAAAATGAAAAAAATTTAAGTGAAGCTGACTGATAAATTAAAGGAAACAAAAAAACAAATCAATTAAAAATATTAACCTAGCAACAGATTCAAAAAAATCATGAATAATTAAGAAAAATTTTTTTGCAAAATAATGTTCCAAAAAACCAGTCAATACCAAAGCAAATAAGCAATGGCAAGCATAACATCTCTCTTCGGTAATTTTTGCCAGTTGAAAAGCAACTAAACGCAACAAACAAAATGATAAAAGATAAACCGAAATTTAGATAATTATATCCATTTCCTCAGAAAATAAAATTTTGATAAAATTTTGTTGCTTTAAGCTTTAAATGATTTCCAAGCAAATTTTTAATGATTTCCACAGACCAAGGAAGGAGCAGGGATTTCTGAAATTTCCGTAAATTACGATGAGAAGCTAAGAAAAACTCGTTGAATGTTTAAAATAATAGTTTTTTCATAAATTATAGGCTATGTTTCCGCCATTATTTAGAATATTCTATCTAATTTTAAAATTTGAAAAATTTATGGCTGAAAAAATTTATGGTTAAAAAATATGAAAAATTCAGAACGTACACTGCTTTACCAATCTTTGGCTATTTCAAGATTCCAAGTCCAAGATAACCAATCATTATCGTCATCATCTGTTACTTGAGATTTTACTTTATAAATGCCACGATGAAGCATTCCTTACATTGAAAAAAAAGAAATTAGAAAAAATACAGGAAAAACAATTGAATCAAATATTTTTTAACCAAAAACTCAAAATCCTTAAAATCCTTAATTCTTAAAATTTCCAGTAAATTGGAAAAATAAAACTTTTTCACCTTAAATCAATTGTGATTTAAAGGTTCTTACCTGAAGGAGCCTCATCGACAGGCGTTGTAAACGATTGCAATTCTAGTTTCGGTGCATAGGATCCCATCATAAGTACATCTCTATCAACTGAAATACATTTCATTAAGTGGTGGTGAATCACCACTAAGCGAGTTCTACTAGTAGTTTCAATTTCAATACGCTGAAAGATATCGCCAGAGTGGCAACACATAGCGATAGAATTATAAATGTGTTACCAGCACTACTCAGAATTAGTTAAATTAATATCAAAATAATCAAAAGATTAAATAAAATATATTTTTAATCAAATATGTGCTAAAACTGCAAAAAAAATGAAAAAATAATGGAATGTGAAACCTGTAATAGAATGACGAGTTACTTTTTGCATATATTTTAAACCAGTACAAATTTCTCGCTGAACTTGAAAATCGAAACGAATTCTATACGATGTGCCTTCTTTAATTTTGAATTGCAAATTGTTCAGATGTTCTGCAGTTTTCGAAATTATAATAATATTTAAATAATAAAATGGTTACAATAATTATGAAATAAAAATTAAAATTTAAAATAAAATTAAAAAAATATGCAAACTTCGGTGAAACAAGAAAAATTTTAACCTTCGAATTAAAAGTATTATCATATTATTGCAGTATTAAATACAAATAAGATTTAAACTGCGGCTAAATGGCTAGTAAAATTATTGATTTAAAAATAGCAAATAAAACACTAATAAAATCAAAAGAATAAAAAAGAAATAATGGAACCTTTATCGAGTTGCAAAGTGATATCAGGTCGACCTTCGATAACGAGGCTTATCGATCGTAGAAGAACATTACGAGGATCACCTGCATCGACAATAATTTGAGATGACTTAGCATCACCTAATAATTGCTCTTTGTACCTGGAAAATAAAGGAATAAACTAGAATGGATTATTCTCGAGATCTAACCCAAGTTCTTCATGATAACTCTTTGTGATAACAATAAAGTGTGGTTTTTAATGGTTTATGGTGGTTGCCGACTAGATAAACTGATAATTACGAGAAATGATAATACGCATTAAGAAAAAAGTAAAATTCTATTGAAATAAAAATTATCGAAAAAAATAAATGAATAAATCAAATTAATAAAAAACGACAATAAACTTTTTAATTTTAATTTAATTTTTAATTTTAGTTTAATTTTTAATTTTTAATTTAATTTAATCTAATTTTTTTAAGAAATAATCACAATCATATGAAGTGGCTAGCACTCAGCATTTCCCGTGTCAGCTCGCTAGCGATTCGCTAGCTGCCAGAGAATGAAATTTTTGCGAGTAGAAATATTTGGCAATAAAAGTAAGGGTGGATGGCCAGCACTAGCCAATAAACACCTAAAATACTAATAAAAATATGACCTATTGAGACTTTCATCTTCGGCGTCGATGGCGACAATTTCGGAAACACTTTTTTGCGCGGGCCTAACATAGTTTTCTTGCTCATTAATTCTCAATTCCAGATCGGCTAAATCACTCACTTTTTCATCCATTTTTTTAAAATCTAAAATAAAACAAATTATATGGAAAATGTGGAAAGTTGAAAGATGCAGCAAAGAGCGAAAATACGCCGAGAAGGGAGCTCTGATTCGATTTTAAAAAATTACGAAATTTCTTCGGCTATTTTAGGCGTTTAAAAAATAAAATGAAAACAATCAACCCGTTTAAAAAAAAAAAAAAAAAATAATTGACACAAAGAATATTAAACAAGTAAGAAGAAAAAAACTTCATTTTCACATGAATTTGTTAAAAGAAATCGAGAAAAATTTTGGGAAAAAAGGTCACCCGAGCATACCTCAAATCATCGGAGGTCAAAAGGTCAATCGAAGACATTCCGGGCCATCGGATGCCAAGCGAGGTCAACCGATCTTCAGCCCGGCTTCATTCTTCACAAAATCACGTTAATAAAACTCATTCAAATAAAATGAGATGAATCCAATATTTTCCATGCAAAACCTTAGAATACTAAAACGCAGCCGATGTGTTACGTCTAGATTGAAAGATAGCTTTATTACTTGAGGATTAAATGATAAAATGGTGCATTTGATGGTCGATGGTGGGGGGAACGCTGATAAGGGGTTACCTAGCGCTCATCGGAAACTCAACATTTATATTCACCGCCTTTCTAATTTTTTTAATCGAAAAGCGGTTCATGAAAAGTACCAAATAATCGACAAAAGAAGTTTAGGACGCTGATAAACGGTGATAAGACGGGATGAATAAGTGTTAGGTGGTGATATCATTTGAAAGATAACGGGAGTTTATAAGATAATTAGACGACAAATGCTTCGGAGAGCGATAAAACGAAATTTATCAGGAAGATACAACAACAACGATTAAATAACTGCGAGATGATAAGGTATTTGGAAGAGATAATTGGAAAGGTGTTTATAAAACAACCAGCAGCGCTGCTAAAACGATGGGTGAAAAGAGTCGGACCATCAAATTTTTCAGTTTTTCCCTCTTTTTCTTTATTTTTTCCTCGGTACATTTACCAAAAGGAATTTACGTGAGAAAGGGGCGGACCATACCTGCCAAACTTGACGTGTTGACCTAATATTTTTTCCTTGGTTCACATCTTCTGCCTAGGCTTACTCCGCTACTCGATGGACCAGACAAGTTGACTGGGCAATCACTAGAATTGCAGTTGAATCGCTTTGCGAAATTTTGAAAGACATGTTTGCTTCTTAGAATCTTCTGAAACGTAGAATCTTGGAGGTCCGAGGCCCTGCCTAATGTTTTCTGCATATTAATGCTACAGTATTGTAAAATAGTAACACTTTCCAACATTTATTATTCCATTTAAATAAAATTAATAAAAATTTTTAAAAAATTGAAAATTTTACAATTTTCATTGATTATCAAAAAAAAATATAGCAAAATACTTCAATTTATGTAAAAATTCTATAAAAAATCCATTTATTTTTATAACAGTGCTGAATTTTCTAGTTCTTTTGCACTGTATTCCATCATATTTGAAATAAACTCACATTTTTATTTGGAAGAAAAAATTTAAATAAAAATAACAATAATTAGTTAAATAATTAGAAAATAGTTAAGAAAAACCAAAGTTTTAATACCTGAAAGCCATATAAATTTGCAAATTTTTTTTTTCAAATCGTACATAATAAGTAGAAAAAAACTAAAACAATATCTATCTTGATGAAAGAATTTTTAAAAAAAATCTACATAATATTACCAAAATTTAAAAAAAATAACACCGATTTTTTTCATAATCATCACATATAACGAATTATAGAAATTCAAATCAACGAACGACCCATGAGCAAAATAAGAGCAAAATTATTTGAAATTTTTTAAAAAATTTATTGTCGATACAATGTGAAAGAATCTAAATATGCAAACTTAAAAGCCTTCATCCCAACCAGAAAATTCATCAGGCGGTATATCTACATCGGGCGGATAATTATCAAAGTTAGATACATCAGCAGGATTCGATACTTTAGGCATTATTGGTGGCTTTAATGTCCTTGAGCGCAATCCTTCCCAGTCGAAACCCATAAACCATCTAAAATAAAAATTATTGAAAATCTGCGGAAAAAGTCAAAAAATTAAGCATCTCTAATAGTATAAACAGAAGGGAAACATGCATATTAGACAACCTGCAAAAAATCAATGAGAAATATGAAATACCGATGCTTTCGAATATCACTTAAACCGCCACTTCCAGATCCAAGACGTTCACCAGGATTATCTTTGCATAATTTTTTAACAAGAGCTGTAGCCGTTTTACCGATTCTTCTATTGGGAATTTCAAGTGCATCAACACCTTTTAGAATTAAAGTATAAGTTTTCATTGGATCTGCAGCCTGAAAAATAGAAAATCTTTCATATAAAGAACAAAAAATTTATTCTATAAGATAAAATGCCAAACAATATTTTTAAAATTGATAATACGAAACAATAATATTGAGATTTCGATGAGTAAAAAAATTAATCAGAAAATCTAACAAATAGAAAAAAGACCTGGAAAGGAGGTCTGCCAAGCATCAGTTCGCATATATAAATACCAAGAGCCCAATAATCGGCTGCTTGATCGTGTCCTTTATTCAATATAATTTCTGGCGAAACATATTCCGGTGTGCCGCAAAATGTCCATGTTTTCCGTCCACTTGCCAATTTTTTTGCGAAACCGAAATCAACCTTTAAAAAAAATCCTAAATTTGATACTAATTAATACTTCCTCCTTAATTAAATCCTTTGTTACCAATCATTTTATATATTTTTACAATATTTATAGAAATATTAATTATTTTATAAATAATTATTTTCAATATCAAATCATATTTAATCGACTGAAACTAGATTATAAGCTAATTTTAAGTCCACTTCATAATTTCCGCGAAAATAAAAATTATTGAAAACGGAAATAACGAACAAGTTTGAGATATCCAGTGACTGTTAATAAACAATTTTCTGGTTTTAAATCTCGATAAACAATGTGTTTACGATGTAAATATTCAAGACCTTCAAGTACACAAGCCACATAAAAACGGGCCGTGTAATCATCAAAATGACCGCGATCTCTAAGTGTTGTCCACAGCTCACCACCAAGACATACCTCCAGCAACATGTAAACATACTTCGAATCACGGAATGTCGTATATAACCTTAAATGATTATTTAAAAAATTGGTTTACTCGTCTAAATGGTTGCCAGGGACTCAAATGATTCTCTAATCAAATATAATCTTAATTTAGTAATCTGCTAAAAAAACTAAAAAAATCTTAATTTAATAGTTAGTAATTAGTGAAGCCAGTTAGTCAGAAAAAGCAAAAATTAATTCGATTTCAAAGGGTTAGGTTTAATTAAAAAAGATTTTAATTCTAATAAGATAAAGCTGACCTGACAATCCACTCTGAACGTGTTTCCATCATAATATTTCTTTCCGCGAAAATGTGCTCCTGTTGCCTCGTATCCACAATATGTTTTTTCTTCAACGCTTTTAAAGCAAACGTCTTCGATTTATCACCATTAACACACACCTGAATATTAAAACATTTTTTACCAAATTTAAAAACTTGAAAGAGCAACGAATTCGATAAACTCAAATGATCATTTTATTTAGATTTGGATTTATAAATTTAAATTAAATAATCATAAAAAAGAAAATAAATTCGGAAAAAATTGGCAACAAAATACCAATTCTACTCTACCAAAGCCACCCACACCCAGGGTAGCGATCCTTTTAAGCTGTTTCAGTTGTAATCCAGCGAACTCTTTTTCAAGAGCAGCTCTAGTTGGAGACAACGGTTCTGGAATCACTCTGAAAAAAACAAAAAAAGGTAAATATCTTTTTGAATGAAATGATCACATAAGCATTTCAGTACGAAAATATCAATAAAAAAATAAAAATAGATAAAACAATGAATAATAAATGAATTGAGCAATTCTTTCATTTATAACCAATAATCAATGTTTTTATTTTAAATGCATATCAATAAATTTTTCTAATTTTTCTAATTTTCTAATTTTTCAAAAATAGAAAATAAATAAATTGCTAAATGAAATTTTCGCAAAAGTTAAATATATAATACATACACAGTAGCTCTTCGTTGAACATCGCCATAATCTCTATTAAGTGCTTCCAAATCTCCAATTAGCTTTGTAAATGACTCTCGATCAAGCGTTAAAACTTCAACTCCTGGATTCATTGCAATCACGTTCGCTGTACGAACCTACAACATAAAAAGATCCGAAAAATCTTCAAAATATATGAAAAAAGAACGAATGAGCAAAATTTTCTAAAAGATATTAAGTAAAAAAACAAATACTTCTTCACTAAGCAACGCTTTTTCACCGAAGAAATCACCCTGTTTTAAAATACGAATTTCTCTTGGTTCAGGTTCATTTTCTATCTGTTGCGTAACACGAACTTGACCGCTATTTATTATAAAGAAAGTATCCCCCTGAAAAATCGGTATAATATAAAGGTGTAATTGAAAATAGAAGATCATAGAAGATCAAGTTACATTCAAGTGCTCTTTTTATAAGAAGTAAATACGAACAAACGACTGCGTAAACGTCCAATATTAATTCGATAAATATATGGACTGAATTTTTTTAGACAATGAAAAAATACCCTTTCACCTTCCCGAATAATATAGTTATCACCGGCATAATATTCCTGATCCAAAACATCCGCGATTTTCGAGATACGATCTTCGGATAAATTTTCAAATAAAGAAACCTTAAAATGAAAAAATTTCAGTAATATCCTTGCAAATTTAATAATGAAGGGACAAATTTTAAAATGGAAAGAAACTCATGAAAAATATAAATTTCGAAAAAATCAATTTTTTCCACCGTGTATTTCATAAGGATCATTGTATTTGGTTCTATTTTTGATAAAAATGGCTTAATATTAGTCTCACCTTATTAAGAAATGCCATAAGCTGGGCATGCCTCTCCATACCCAAACGCATCGTTATCATTTGAAAGACAGATCTATCGAGTACCCATAACTGCACATCCGTCAAAGCTTGCACAGATGCAGTCCTATTATTCGATTCCATAAAATTAAATTATAGAAAAAATATTGAAAATTTTAGTTCCAGAAAAAATTAAAAAACACCTTGTGCAGTTATAAAGTATGGCTAATTCGCCAAAAACAACAGGAGGGCTCATTGTGCTTAATACTGTTCCTTCTCGAGAAACTTGTAATTCACCCTCTAAAAATTCGAACTTAAATATTATTATTAATAAATATGAAATAATAAAAATTTATTTTGAAAATTTTTCAATTAAGAACGATTTTGGTTTAAAAAATTTTTTGGCATTACTCTTTAACAACCTGACATTTTCCATATAATATTTCAGAAAGAATTAAAAAATAACCTCCAGCAACAAAAAGTCGATCGCCAGGTTCACCTTCTTGTATAATCCATTGACCAGCTCTTGCACGCATTTCATACATACATTCCACTAATTCAATGACTTGTTCTTTAGCGAGTTGTTTTAAAAAATCATTCTTTTGAACAGCATCACGTATTAGTTGTTTCAATCTGAAAGAAAATCATTATAATCCAATAAAATTCTAGTAAAAACTGAAAACTTTTCAAAGTGATAACAGCAAGCAACTGTTTGTATTTGATAAAGTCTACTAATCAAAAATCAATAATAAACTATAAATAAAAAAATAGAAACAATAAATAAAAGATAAACAGGAAAAATAAAAATCATATTACCCAGCAGATTTGGGATGATGTCGAAGAACAGCTTTGTATTGATCAAATTTTGCAGGTTCCGCTGATACTGCAAGTTTTTTCGAACGAATCCCTTCATCCGAGTTTAACTAGAAATGTCCGTTGGGTGGCAACAATTCACGAAAGAAACAAGTTCCTAATTTGATCACTGATATTCTTTTTATATCAAACAAATACAACATGTTTCCCATAATTACTCAATTTCGATAAAAATTCACTAAACTAATGCCATAAAATCATTAAAATCTCTTCGTATATGTACTTTTAATTAGTTAAAAAATGGGATTTCTAAATAACCTTTTGTACAGTTCCAGGCGATGCAGCTGATGAGACTGTTTGATTGAGTACTGAACGAAGCTTATCGCACTCTCTCTTTAAAATCCAATTTCGTTAAAATTAATGAAAAATACAAATATAATTTCTTTACATTTAATATCAAAAATAATTCAATTCCAAATCCAATGAATTGATGAATATTAGGAAAATTATGCAAAAATTTCGTAAAAGAAAAAACAGAGCCTTAGAAATCAATAAAAAAAAAATTTGTTTCTTTATATAAATACAAAAGTAAATGGATTACAATTGAAAAATTAATAAAATACTAATTATAAAAACTAATGAAACTGAAAAATAAAATAATCAATCGCTAACGAATTATATATTTGCCAATCGAAATATCTTATCAGTACATTGGTATTAGAAGATTATTTCTGATCATTTCAATGCCTTTCAAAATTTGCCCAATAAAAAATATTAATATATAAAATTCGCTCTTATAATGCAAAATTTAACTTATTTTTTTGCGTATAAAAAATATTAAAAACAAGAAATAAAGAAAAGAAATAAATTTCAAAAAGAATTAATTTTTTTTTTGATTATTTAAATATTATTTTTATTTCTTTTTCTTCTTTTTCAAATTTATTTCATGATCTTTTTTCAAAAAAAAATCATTATACGATGAAATTACGAATAAAATCCTAAATATTTAATTATCTCACAAAAAATCACATTAGTCACGAAAATTATTAACTAATTGACTATAAATTATTATTAACTATTTATCGTTTATTTATTTCACTACATTAAAAAGATTATTTCGATTGAAAAAAACTTCGCAAATAAAAAAAATTTCTTTTTTTTTATAAAAATATAAATTATTAATTATAATTGATCAAAAATCAATTTATTATTTGCAAAATTTTTATAAATTATAAGATTTCTTTTTTAAGTTTTCTACGCCTTTTTTTACTTATTTTTAAAGATTTTATAAAAATTATCATTATCATAAAAATTATCATTTAATCATAAATCTTTTAGAAAAAATTAATTTTAAATTAGACAAACCATTAATATTTTAACTTGCTTCTCATATTCGGTGGTCTTTTTTATTTCCGTTTGTATTGTGCTTTGTTGCTGTTGAATAATTTTCTCCTGTTTTTCAATTGTTTGTTCCAACTGTGGAATTAATTTCTGAATTTCGCCAACATCCAATGTTCGACTTCCAATTTGCACCTTAAAAAAAGAAAATGAAAATTTCCTTTTTTCTTTTCCATCAAAATATATTTCAATTTTTATAAATTTTTTTGTATTAACAAGTCCTGCAAAAATACTTATGATACTTCTTTGTTTTTTATTTTATTTTAAATAAATACTTTCTAAAAATACTTCTTTAAATTCAAAATTTTTCGCAAATCAACGAGAAAATACTATACATTTTCTCATCAAAGAAAAAATGGTTTTAAAATTCAAACCTCAAAATATTTTAAATCAGATTTTAAAAAAATTTAAAATTGAAATTGAAAATTAAATAAAAAAAATTAATTTTCACCAAGTAAATTAATAAATTATTTGCTAAAACAAATAAAAAATTTTTTTCAAATTTTTTATTTTCTTAATTTTTATTTTTTTCTAATTTTCAAAATTTTTTCAAATCTTTTTATATTTCTTTAATTTTTTTATTTTTTCCGTAATTAATCAATTATTTCAAGAAGATTTTAAAATTCTAAGCAAAGGTAAAAACTTTAATTTGCTCAATTATTTGTAAACATTTGCAATAAAAATAAAAATAATAAAAATAAAAATAATTAAAATAATTAAAATAAAAAATTACCTGATTTATATTAGTTTGTAGCATTTTTTATGTACATAATAATTGTAATAATAATAAACAATAATAATAAAAACTATCAATACTAGCAATATTTTATATTTTGGACAATAATAATTATTTTTTCAATAGAAATAATAAAAGTATTTCGGTATGATTCGCAACGAACCAGTAAAAATTTCTTTAAATTCAATAATATATCAATACTTTCCTTTTTTTCTTTTTCCTTTGTTTCTCCCTTTCTCTTTGTTATCCCCTTTTATGTCTAATTCTCTCGCCGGTACATTATGTTTCGTGTAAACCTCCAATTTTACACAAATAATAATAAAAATTTTAATAATATTTTTCTCAATCTCTTTGTTAAGTAAATTTTTCTTTTTGTATCGAAAAATTTCCTTGCAATTCGAAATGTTGAGGGCCAACGCGTAAGTACCACACAGCAATTTAGAGTGCCAGAGCAATTTTTCACAAATGGTGATTCCGCATTCGGTAGCTAATCAATTTACATCAATTTATCATCTTACTATCAGTTACAAATCGAATCGCGACTGCTGTCAACTTCCGAAATCCGAAAACCTACACTGTACAACAGTTCACACCACAATAATCCTCAGATCAATTTGCACCAAAAACTGATACCAGATCAACCAGCAATTTAATAAAAAATTTGCATTTGCCAATAATTATTTTTCAATTGAAAAAAGAACTTTTTAATCAATAGTACTACTAACAACGATTATTATTATTACATTACGAAAAATTACGAATGAATGAGAAATAAAAAATTATTCAAAAAGTTTTGTCCTAATTTTAATCAGATTATGTAAAATGGCAATCGAAAATTTTCATTTATTCACTTATTTACCGATATATCATTTACTGATAAAATTTTATTTAAAAAAAATCTTATCGAATGAGATTTTTTGCAAAAAAATATTTAACAATTTTCCCTTCTTCTTTCAAAAGCACTCGCCATTCGCTCGAATTGGCTAGTTCCATTGGCTATCAGGATAAAACCCCTTCGCCAGAGAGTCGTCTACGGATAAAAATAAGCTCTAAGTTCTGAGCAGGATTAAGCAAACTGGTTTAAAAATTAAAAACTTTTAATTAATAAAAATTCAAAAAATAAAAATTTAATTTTTATTTTTATAGCGAAAAAAATATGAAAAGAAGAGTATGTGACGAGAAGAAATTCGCCTCTAAGAGAAATAAACATAAAATTCTCGTTTGAACAATTCAAATACTCAGTGATCCTTTGTAAATATCAGAATGTAATAGTAAATCACAAGAACCATTTACCATATTCCTCGGTATGCCTTCGTAATATACAATTTTTACATCTTTCACCATATTCTCTTCTTTTTTATCCAATAAGAAAGTATTTAGCGTTCATTATTTCTGGTTAGACTCGATTGTCACCGATTGTTAACATAATTACTGATTGAATTTCTTGCTAGGAAGTTACAGAAGTAAAGAAGTTATAGAGGAAGTGAGCCCTCAACACTATCCGATCTTTACCTAATAATTACATTTAATATATTTACCTACAATATATAATGACGAAATAGCTCGGCCGTTTGGCCGATACCAAGCAAAAAATATAAAATTTTTGAGGAAATTACTAATCAGCTAATATAATTATCAACAGTAAATTGGTTTAATAAATATTATTATAAAAAATTGTTTTACGAACCTAATCAAAAAATAATTTGCAGCCATTTAAGTAAATTCATTGAGTACTTAAATCATAAAAAAAACATAAAAAATTGGAAAAGAAATCAAAAATTAAGCAAACATAAGTGCTGTGCTATTTTTTATTTATTACCTGTTTTAATTTATATTATTTATCATTTTTTTACTTATTTCTACCATAGGCAATTTTAAAGTAAAAGTAAAGAAAAAAAGTAAGAAAAAAGTAAGAAAGTAAGAAAAAAAGTAAAGCATAGTAAGAGTAAAATGACCTTTAAAGCAATAACAATACTCTGCGAAGATGCAATACATAATAAATTAATGAATTTTTTTATTTGCAAAGGTAATTTTCTAGGAAAAAATAGTGCTTTTGCTAATAAAAGCAAAAAAAACTTTTCAATGACTATTTTTTATATAAAAACACAAAAAATTTCAAAAAAAACATCACTATTATTTAATTAATTTTCTCGTTCAAATAAAAAATTTTGAAAATTGCAAAATAAATAATATAAAACCAAAAATGAACAAAAAATAAAAGTTATAAGGAAGAAAGAAAAACTGACCTGCATATTTGGTAATTGTACATCAGAAGGTTTGCGTAATTTCGAGAAAAAGCTTCGAATTCCAGTGGTACCTCCGCCTGAAGGCCGAGCGGCCGTTGAATTACTCATTTAGATTTTTTAATACTTCTCCTATCGTTTCGTTCCTTCTTATCGCCCGATTCTTTTTACCTTAAAAATTTTTTAAATTTTTTTAATTATAAAAGTCGCATAATATCGTATAAACGAATTTATGATCAAAACAAAATTCATAAAATTCATAAAATTTAAAAACATAAGTAAAAATTTAAATTCGATCGATCAATTTAGAAACGATTTTTTTCAAATATTTTATTAAAACAAAACAATTTGTTATTGTCGTCCTTTTGTCGTATGAATTTAAAGATAAAAAGTAAATAAAGACAAAAGAAAAAAAAGAAAAGAAATAAAAATAAATTTATTATAAATTTAAATTTAATTTAAAAATAAATTTATTATAAATAAATTTAAATAAAAAATAAATTAAATTGTATTAAATTGAATTGTATTAAATTAAATGATAAAATAAAAATAATTCATTTACAAAAATAAGGAAAATTTATGAAAAGAAATAAATGAATTAATAATAAAACTAAAATCTTAACAAATGAAAAAATATTAGAAATAATTATTGTAAAATTAACAAATAGTAAATTAACTAAATAAAAACATCAAAAAAACGAATTAAGTCGAACTGTTCGTCAAAAAAATTGATTAATGAAAATTCATTTAAGAAAAATAATTGCAATTGAATTTTTATAATTATAAAAATTTAAAAGGGTAAGGGTTCAAAAAGGATTTAATCGCTTATTCACTTATTTATTCTTGCATTATCACTCTTTCACCTTTAACTTTTATACAGGAATATTGATAATGACTGATAATAAAATATAGCATTCAATCTTGCTGATGCTCTCCAAACTCTATGATCTAAGAATCCTTTAAATTCATAAAAATGATCGATGGCTGCTTTAAACTTTTAAGAATTTTTAAGGACTCCATGACAGCTTTTATCTCCTCGAGTTATATGTCAATATTTATCGCAAAATAGAAAATTGAACTGAGAATAAAAATTTTTTAATACATTAATAATAAGCAATTATTGCGGCAATCTTCCGCTCCTACTGAACGACCCACCGTGAGAATCACGAAGCAAGGATGGTGAATGGTGCAGTGGTGCAGTATGCTTTGAAGAGATCAAGCAGCATGCGTTTGACCTTCGCTATTGAAAATGCCGCCTGAAGGAGTCTCGGACGACACTCACACGGAAGAATCGTCGCGTTCAACGGGCGTAGTGAATTCAGCTGAACTCGAAGGTACTTTAATGGAAATAATATCGACGCCACAATAAATAGGAGCGAATGAGAATTTAACGAAAATTTGTGAATAAAAATAAAAAAGAATTCGAAAATTTAGAATTTAAATTTAATAATTTTAAAACCACAAAAAAAAGAAAATTCATTATTTGAATGAGCGATGCGCGGAACGAAAATTCGAATAACCAGTTTTATTCTCGAATAAAAAATAAAAATTAACAAAAATTGCTCGTTTTTTTCTTTTTTTTGATCGATATTTTAGTTAAAATTACAATTAAAATAGATAAAAAAAATATTAAAAATTTTTTGAATTCGGTCAGATTAAAATCGGTTTTTTATTAAAAAGCAGATCGGCTAGAATTATTAATTATCGGATTATTTATTCATCGCACTTCGTGAGATTTTATGAGATTTGCTCGAACGTCAGTTGTTCGAGTTGTTTAACTAGTTTTATAAATTTGTCAACTGGAAAACGACTGAAGTGGTCGCCTAGATCAGCGAATAATAAACGCTGAGGTGGCGGAACTTCGAAATAGCTAAAGGGACATTTCGTATTTTTCTCTTTGAAAAAGGCCACAGTTATGTGCAGCAAGTGCATTTGTGCATATGTATGGTATGTCAGTTGGCCGAAAAGGACAATTTGAGAATTCGCGAAATGCATGAAAATTGGGAATTTGAAAATGAGCCATAATGGTTAATTGACCATTGGAGCAATAAGGGATAAAGAACGATATGAAGAGAGATATAATGTTTCACCGTTTAATCTTCTTTAATGGAATTTTAAAATGAGAGTCGTGGAAATGTGCGGAGGAAGATATACAGTCGTGTAGCCAGCACCACATAAATTTCCTTCTCCTCCTTTACAGGTTTGACCAGTCAAAGAACAGGAATCGATAATGGGCTGAAGACTCAGTCGAAGCAACATCCCACCGTGCTGTCTACTTTCTTCAATAAAAATCTTTTAGAAACCCAATTTCTTCCGTGATTTTTCTTCAGTTTTTTTTCGTAATTTTTTCGCTAATTCGAGTTTATATTTGTCTTATCATTTGATAAGGATAAATTTAAGATTAAAGTCTGGGTGACTGCTGGAGATTTAGCTGGAAGATCTCTATCTCAAATTTTGTGGTGAAAGATTTGAATCAAGCAGATTCCGGCGCGCCGAGAATAGAATGGTTCAATGTGTTGTTGCTCAATTCGGAGCGCCGATTTTCAGTGCCGAGGTTCTATTCCTCGCGAGAGTAAACCTGTCCAAAAATCCGAGTGATGCTAGTGACTCACTGTACTTCTAAAAATTTCAGTGCGCATTCAACCTGGTGATACAAACGATAAGTGAATTTAATCAGATTATTGATAGTAAAAGCTTAGAGTAATTACTATAGATCCTCGGAGGAAAACGACTCCATTTGTGTCAAGTGTGCGACACTCTAATTGCATAAAATCTCAGTAGCCAGGCGATTATCACCACACTATATCCAAGTATCAAGTGTGTGTATGCCGTCTGCCCGATAGAAGCTTTCTTCGCTCTCGATCTGCTTGCTTACCTTTATTATTGCTCATCTTTTGTTTATCGTGGTTCAGGGCAAAGGTGACTGACTATATAATCGTGGTGCTTCGCATAACTTGAAATCATGATTTCACAAGCAATAGGGTTATTCGATTTCGATCACTCATTAACGACCAGTTGGCCTAAGTGTGCTTTAAAGTGACATTTCTGCAATATCTTCTCATCGTTTTATATTCCCATTCTCTATCAGTTCTCAGGGTGGTCTAAAAACCGTCAACGAGGTCTTTTGAAAAAATTTTCGAAGTTGAAACCATTTTCATAATAAGATTACTTAGGCTTATTTTATATCCTAATGAACTATGAATTTGTAAAAATTCATTCAAAAAGAATTTTAAATGATGAAATGATTTTTGAAATTTTATAATTCTAACACTCGATATCGATAGATATAATCGACATAGAGAAAAGCCTTTTGTAAATCATCAGAGATTTCTAGAAGTTTAAAAGGATGCTGAACAAAAAGTTGAAAAGAATATCTCCTAAGAGAGAGGCGCATAAAGGAAACGATGCCATCGCCAAAAATTGGTCAAATTCAAAATCCAAAAATGCTATCAAAGCTTACATGTCAGGAGGATGCCAGACGTTTCGAAGGCATTCATTAACAGCGAAAAGGCGAAGCTGCATTAATTATGGAGATAGACGACATTCGAAAATGTATTTTATCTTCCTCTTAAAGTAATCATAACCGGAGTGATTGTCAATGAAATGATCTTAAGCAAGGAGCACCTCGAGACAGAATATTTTAAGGTTACGATTAACAATGATGCGCTATTCATCATCTCGGATTCAACCGAAATGCTTTTACGCCATAAATGCATTTTAAGAATGCAGGAGGAGGCTGACCAGGGAACGGCGACAGTTTTTCGAATATAAAAGAAGTCTAATATCTGTAGTACCAGTTTTTTGGTGATAATGTGATAAAAGTTAAATGAAATAGGAAAAGGTTTATGCAACTTGAATAAACAGTAGATTTTTTTGTGTTCAGGATTATATTTTACAAAAAATAACGAGAGGACATTTTTTGCTTCTTTATAACAAATGATTCTTAAATGATAAAAGGAAAAAATGAAAACTTACAATGGCAGTAAAAAATCTTATCTTCACTTCACTTCATTACCTGCAGACCTGTAGATCGTTGGTTAAGTTGTGTGTTGCTTCTAAATTACGCAACACGAATTCCTGTAGTTTAAGAAAAAAATCTGCTAAAAGTGAAATACTGGTGGTGAGGTGGATTCATTTTCACATAAGAGATTTTTTGGTTGAAGGACCTCAGTTCGGCAGCCAGCGGAACCTGAAATCGAAAAAATGTATATATCTATAGGAGAAATAAAGGATGAATGAAATAGTGGTGCATAAAAATTTGAACGAAGGCTAGTAAAGTTCAAATTCATTTTTTGCCAGAATAACATTAACTGATACGAAAATGCCAAGGTGATTTAATAAAATGATAGGAATTTCTGAAGAAGTAAAGACATTCTCAATGAACTACACAAAACTCAACTAAATGCAGCGAAGATTTTGAAAAATTCTACTCAAATAAAGTTCTCAAATTGTTTTAGTGTTAAAAAATAAAGAGTGAAGTTTTGAAAATAATTCATCGAATTTCTTAGAAGAATTCAACTTAATTCCACTATTTTATCAGCACTGAATCTTATCATTATTTTAACTTAAAAATCACGACAAACTTGTTTAATTTATAAATTACGAAAAAAGAGAAGCACCAGAACAGCAGAATAAAATGTCACAAATGAAAATTCCTAAAATAAGCACCAACATTACCAAAAAATTAATGATTTCTTATGAATTTATTTGAAAGACTATTTAATCGAATATCAATAAAGTAAGACTTAAAACGATGGTGACCGTCATATTAAAACTACAAAGAAATGTGCAATAATTTTCAAGTTTTGCATGAATTTTCATCCAAAATAGGAACTGAATTTGGAAATTTTTGATGGTGGTTGTCTTCTGGCAGAAGCATGTGTAGCATCACACGGATTCCAATTTTCATGATAGGTTTATTCCCATCAAAAGATAGAGCTGAATCTGTGATCATGCTTAAAGCTTCATTTAAAGCAATTGACTCCCAGGAAAAGGCGAATAATGAATTTTTTTGGAAAAATATTTCATGAAAATAAAAATGCATCAATTTTATTCCAGATAAACAATTATCGAACCTATAAGAAAATTTATTAATATTTTTTTTAAAAAAGTTGAAAAAATATTTTGCAATATTAAAAAAAAATTTCGCTGATTAGCTGATTTTGTTTCTATTTTATTTCTAATTTATTTTTTTTATAAAAATATTTGTTATATTTCACAAGGATGATTCAAAATCCTTCGGCAGTAATCTTTAATGATTCTTTTACTCTTTTCTTTTACTCGTCGCCTACAATGGACATACACTTCGTAACTTGCTAAACTGTGACGGATGGCGTCAAAAGCGAGCTGGACCAATCAAGACCTGGTCTGACACAACCAGGAAGGATTTCGATTGTACAGATGGACCAGCGATACATGGACGATGGAAAAAGAGTGGCTGCTATTACTAAAAGCGATAGCATCAGATCCAACAGCTTGAAAAGTCTTAGCTTTGCAGCCAGTGGAGCGAGCCTAACCAACAGTGAAGAAAACCATTAGAAGAGGAAAAATAATTCATAATGCAAATTGACTTTATAATTTCATTTAATATCTTTTTACAACGCAAATAAACGATAAATTTCATATAAAAAAGAGAATAAGAGAAAGGAAATTCATATTCATTTATTATCTAAAAAGAAAAAAATCTAAAAAATGATAAGGAAACAACAAAATACACGATTTTTTGATTAATTGGTTGATTATTATTGATAGAAGTCGAGAAAAATTTACAATAAAAATAAAAATATAAAATTGCTAAATTTATTTTAGAGAAGAAAAAAGTCAAAATTACCATTTATGTTATATGAATAAGAATTTATTAAATAGACAAATCTAAAAATGAAATATCTAAATTTTTTTTGTACAATTTTCAACAAATCTATTATTTTTTCTTGCAAAAATTCTGGAAAATCATAAAACGATAAAATGAAATGCCCTATTCATTGATTCGAAAACTGATTTCAAGAAAAAAAATCTATTAAAGTGCTGGAAAAATTTATGACTGTGATATAAATAAGTTTAATCAATAAATCCTTGGAAATAGTACTAATAATCGGAATTCAGTAGAATGATAATGGAGCAATGAGGCCCGCTTCAAACGAAACAAAGTACCATACTGCTTATGCTCGAAAATAGCAATCTGACCTAACAATTTGCTTTATCATCACAAATTCATACGAATACGATTGGAAAGCGTCGATAATGATCCTGTCTCTTGATGAGGAAAATATCCCAAAAAGTGAAATGCGCCTGCTGTACATCCATCCATCCTTCATATCTGCCTTCCTCCGCATAATCACTCTGGCAAAATAGAGTTTCACTGCACTAGTTATTCGGCTAAGCAAGCGTTACTTGTAAAGGAAAAAAAAGAAGTGCAAAGGCTTTAACTGAAGTGAATATTCCTTATTCAACGCATATTATAGCGAAAAACTGCTTTAAGTAGCGAAAAACTTGATGGAACAATCAAGTGGCATAAGCAAATTATTCTGTGTTACATGAACTGTATTGCAGCAATTTTTTCCAATCCAACAACAATGGTAAATTTAATCGCATAAATGAATTACTATGGAAAAGAAAGCCATCGCCGAGAACTAATTGCGTATTCTTTGGGAGAAAAATGGAACTGAAAAGAACTTTAAACAAATATGGATTAAGAAAAAAATTACTTAAAAAAATAGCCAAATGGCTTTCGGATGAAATATTTTTTTCAAATTTTCTATAAGAAATTAAATTTTCTTTTTTCTAAGAGCACTCACTAGAGTGGTTAGAACGCTCATTCCTTGGCTTGTCGGCTCAAACAAAATTTGCGGAGCCATTACAGGTGAATCGCCTGGATTTTTGAGGACCAGATTTACTTCCGCGGGCGCAGAAACTTCGTGTCGACGCTAACTAACTAACTAGAAGCTCAGTGGTAATCGCATTTCTTCCAAGATAAGCACTGTCAACAAAATGATTGATAGAATTTTGGATGACTCGGTTGGATGTCATCATCAATATTCCTAGTGAATACGAGTCCACTTCATGCATTTCAAGATAATTTTAATTTTTCGCGATGAGGAGAAATGAAAAAATTGCCATTTGATCAGCAGTGCTGAGATCAGTTTTGGATTTGAACACAACAATGGTACGAATATTCACCTTAAGCGAGGGGCAATTCGCCATGTTCAAATAGTTTTTCGATCAGAGTACCATAATTCTATATGCGAAAACAGCTCATTCCATGGTCCATTCAAGAATTATTCAACGGAAATTTCCCAAAGATGCACCTCAATCTTTCCCAGTGAATTAATAATCTCTTTTTATATATAAAAAATACCTAATTAAAACAAAATAGATAAAGAAAACAATGAAAATATCAAAATTCGCTAGTTGAATTAATTTAAAACACTTTGTTCTTCGCTAACTTTGTTATTGAATTTCTTCAAAAAACTATAACAAAGATAATTTGAAAATATTCGAACTAAAATCACTAAAATCGTCGATGTTTAATGGGCATAAAAATTAATAAACATAAAAATTAATAAATATTTCTATTTTATTAATTTATTATAATATTCATATCTATATAATACAATATTTGTTTTAAAAACGAAAGTCAACGAAAGGAGAAATTCCTAATTCCGAAAGTAATAAAAAGTACAATGAAAGTATACTTTAGTATTACCGAGTTCATTCAACGATTTACATCGATTTTCAAATAAATGTGGTGAAAATATGAAATAAAAAAAGTTAATTTAATTATAAATGTTTCCGCTGGTTAAACACGATTTTATTATAATAAACAATATTAAAGGTGTAGCGATTGGAGAAATGGCACTGTGGCGAGAAGCGTGGCACCGAGCAGCTCGGAAACAACTCATCTGGCTTCATCTGGCACGGACTCAGACCGGATCAGCACAAGCAGTAACGCTGCGAAAACGCTGCGAACTGTTTGAAGACGAAGAAAAGGAAGCACGGCGATCGCTTATTTAGCGTTTTACATATGTTTTAAACGTTGAAAACGATTTGTTATTAATAAAAATGAAACCTGTTTTCAACGCAGATAATTCTTAGATAAATATTTATCTTCCTACGAAAATAAGGGGAAAAAATCGCGGAAAACGAAGCAAATTCTCGATGTTAAGCGTAACCACGCTTCGCCATGCTAAATTTGGCAATGAGCGTGCTTTCATTCCTCTTCGCCTTTTCTTCGTTCACGAAATAGCAGTAAAACGCGAAAAAATGGAATTTCTAAAATGGCTTAAACAAAAATTAAATAAAAAATAGAAATGATAAAATTGTAAAAAAAATTTTCAACGATTTGCTATAGAAATACAAAATTAATCGAATAATAATTGTCTATTCAAAAGGAATTTTTTTTGACGAATAAATTTTATTGAAAAAAATATTTTCATCAATGAAACTCCACAATTTTATAAAAATTTTGCATAAATTATTCAAATTTAGTGCTTTCATCAAAATCGTTTTCGAAAAATAAAACCTCAAAAAGGTTTTTTCATAAATTAAAATGCCAAAATAAAAGTTCTGCAGAAAATTATTATGATTGAGATAAACGCTGAGTATAAAATTGAATGCAGTGAATGAATAATAAAACCGCGAAAATCCTCAAAATCCTCAAATATGTCAATCTTGTGATTATTATTGAAAACCGGACTGCAATTAAAACAGATGCCAGCCATCCGTGTGCAGCGCACTTATTGCACTGCATCAAACAGCATAAATCCGCTCGAATTCGAACCATAAATATCGATGCAACAAATTTATTATTTGCAATAAAATGTTAAAGCAATAAATTTTGTAATTCCTGTACGTGCTAAGTAAATTAGATATAAGCAATTCCAGAATTAAATAAGTGAATTTATAAAGTAAATAAGTGAAATTGTTGTTTTAGCAGTTTCCTCGCCCATTTTGATAAATAAACACATCACGCATCGAGCAATTAAGCAGTTAAACAAAAAGAAAATACAAAAAACGCAATAGAAAAGCAAGAAAAGATTACAAATAAAGCGAAAGCGACGGGAAATAAGGGCGGAAAGGGTTCGGAAGCCTGAAAAATTGATAAAGTGATAAATTTTCGATGTTTGACGGGGAGGAAAGGTTCGTTCGTTGAAACAAGCAGGTCGGCCTTGTTGGATGTGGCGAAGGAGTGAACCCGCCGAGCCAATCGTGCAACACTTAGCGCAAAGCGCATAATAAACTGCACTTTCTTTCTTTTTTCTTAAATATTAAATGAATAGTTTAAAAAGATTCGCAAATTTTATTTCTTACAAGTCAATTACAATTCTTTAAAATAAATTAAACAAACGAAGAAATGCCAATTTAAAATTTTTGAATAAATTTAACGTTTTAAAATAAAATTTGAGACGAAATCAATAGATTGAATTTAATTTCTGAAAGGTTTTTGCTTTCTTTTTTGCCTCATTTTTCTATAATTTGGAAAGTATTTGATTGCGATAGACAACAATAATAGCAATAGCAATAATAATAATAATAATAAATAATTGCATTAACAATAACAATAATAGCTGAACTCATCATTATTCTGCATGGTTGACGACGACGACGACGACGGCAACGGTCATGATGATGTTGATGTTGATGATGATGATCAATATAGCAAAAAATTGATTCACATAATATTTGAGCAGGTAATAAACAATATTGTCGCAGTTATTAATGAAAATACTTTTAAAAAATTCATCCTTTTTGTAAGAAACATTTGCGTTATAAGCCAAATTTTCTCCGAAAATCAAGCCTTTATTTCACTCAAATTTTATTCATTTTATTTATTTATAATAATAAAAATTATTTATAATAAAAATAAATGATAATAAATGATAAATGATGTGATATAAAATAATATAAAATGGTTTTTAAAATTGTAAACATTTGAATTAAAATTATTTTAAGAATAATTATTATCGTAATTATTATTTTAAAAATGAAAATATTTATTTATAAACGAATTAATTCCGAAACATTTAATATTAATTAATAGAAAACTGAACAAATAAAATAATTTCAATAGAAATCACGTGAAGCGAATTCTTCAAAAAAATTAAAAATTGCAAAATTAAATAAATCGTCAAGTTTCACGTTTTTTTGAGAATTATAATAACAGTAAATTAATCGTTGAATAATATTATTATTGGTTATATATGAACAATAAATTAATAAAAAATTAAATAATAAATATAATTAACAAATAAATAATAACAAATTATAAGTCTTTTTCAGGAAGAATAAATTTTTCAGGGAGAATTTTTCAGATTAAACAGAAAGAACTATAAAAGCATAAAACGCATATTATATCCTTTTGCTTAATCTCTTAAAGTTTCCTTCATTAATTGGCAAATAAAAAATCACGATAACGGAAAAAGAAAAGAAAGGAATTGAAGGAAAAATTGAATAAATAAATTTTTTTCAACAACATTATATTCTTAATCTTCTTTTCTTCATTCAATTTTTTCGAATAAGTATATAAACGTGGATGTGAAACTAAGCCTGAAACGTGGACGTGGAACTAAATGCATAACTCTTTAATTGGAAATTCTCTTCTAGGAAATAATTGAAAAGGAATCAGAATTTTTCTATAAAATATCTGAGAAAGCTCGCTAAACAACGAAAAAAATTTTAAAAACAATATCGGTCTTATCAATATTTTTAAAAAAAATTTATCATTTAAAAAAAGAAAAAATATCTTACAGACGGCAAACTTATGAAATGATTGAAAAGATTGAATGGATGCATTCGAAGCGAATAAATAAACAACAGATGATGGAAATATTCCTCGAGCGATCCTTTAAATTAAAAAAAATAAATTTAATAAAACAGTGAAAAATTAAAATAATTTCATTTTTTGTCTTTATTTATTTAATTTCTAAAATAAATTTTTCATTTCATCTAATGTGGCACAGTTTTCATCTAAAATTTCCTTTTAAAAAAGCTCTAAAGGTTTTTTTTTTTTAAAAAAAAAGTTAACTGAAATTGAATTAGTAAAGGAAATTTGAAATCAAACAGAGCATCGAAAATCATCGAAAGAAATTTTCAATTGTGCAAAATTAAACTTTAGTGCAACAAAAAAAATTAAAATAAGTTTTTTACGGAATATTTGCTATCATCTATTCCCTAAAGATTTATTTAAGTTTGCAAATTTTCTGCTTCGGCAAAAGAACTATGAAAGTGAATGAATGGAAAGGAACTGATAAGTCGAAATAAATAAAAGAAAAACCAAAATGTCGCTAGTTTTGGTTAATTTAATGAAAATCAAATGAAAAATGACAGAAAAATGAAAAATGACAGAAATAATTGAAAAAAAAAGGATAATGTACAGTTAAACAAATTGCTAGAGAATTAGTTAATGCTTAACATTTTTGGCTGAACTCATTTTTAGGATGGGAAATTTTCGCCTGAGAGCCACTCGATTCCAGAAGTACTCAACGCTTTATACCAAATTTACATTCAGGACCGAGGACCGAATCGTAAATGCCAATCTAAACACTCGGCAATCCTGCTCCTACATATATTTAAGTATATTTATTTATTTATTGAAAACCAGCCAAGCAGGGCGCAAACGCCATTTGCTTGTATTAGCAACATCAGTTAAAATAACAAATAATAAGAATTAATGACAAATAACAAAAAATATATATATCCATGAATAATACATAAGTCAATAGTGATAACTATTTCGATAAATAAACATCTATTAGGCTGCACTGTTATGTATGATAAGAATGTTCAACCAATGATTAAATTAATCAAAAAATGATTAACAAAAAAGTAGCAATGCATCAAAAATGAAACAGTTTACCACTGTGCTTTATAAAGAGTTCCAAATAAATTTATTGATAAATAACTAATAAATATTTCGTTGAATTTAAATAAAAATAATTTTAAGATTTAGTGGAATGCTGCGTTTTCGAAAATTCTTCCACTGTTTCATATTTGAAGTCGAAAAATTTATTTGAAACTAAAGAAATTCGTTTATTCGTTTGAAAAATAAAATATTACTCAAAAAAAAAAAAAACAATATTTTCTAAAAACCAATATTTTCAATGACAAAATCAATATACTTAAATATTCCGAGATTTTTCATTTCATATTTGTTTCATGAAAAGTTTATTGAAAACGGAAATCGACTAGTTTTTTCTATTTTACTTTCTCAATTTCTATATTTTTTGATTTAAAGAAAAATTCTGTGGACGATTTCGTTGAATTTCGCTAAATTAAAAAATTCGCTATTCTCTGAAAATTGCCAAATTTTTTTTCCCTATAAAGTCGCCATAGTTGATTCAAATCTAACTTTTTTAATGCTTTAATGAAAACTATCGATAATAGTGTTTCATAGTCATTTCTGACGGAAATTTGAAATATTTCATCAAAGATCGATGAGCGTCATTGTCATCAAAATAAAAAGTAGGTGACTAGGTGGCACCCAACTTATATAAAGTTTTAATGCTTTTTAGCATGAAAGTGTGACAACATTTATTATGAAAATTCTCTGAAAACGAATAAATATAGATAGCATTGCATGCTATCTTATTTCTCACTCCATTATAAGCCAGTGGCCTCGATCCACTGGCTTGTCAAATTTTTCCAGGAAGCATTATCTGAAGATAGGTGAATCACTAGCATCATCCGGACTTTTAGAAGAATTTGTTTGCCGAGAGTAAAACCATTCTCGATTCTTACTGCAAATTATTTTGCCACCGACGCACCTATCATTCTACTACTGACAATTATTAGCAAATTTTTTAAATAGCGAATGCCAGTAAATGTAAAGAAAAAAATCATAGTTCATCAAAAATCATCAAAAGTTAAATTGATAGGAAAAAGAGTTAAAAGGTGAAAGATTCCAGGATCATAAGTAAAAAGCAAAAAGGATGATATAGGCTGGAAGTATGAACGATTGCTGCTCTCATTTCGGAGCTCGGAGTTAGTGTACTACTTCCGGCATGAGAGTTAACAGC